CTCAACTCCCTAGAGATTGGAAGGACGCTGTAGTTAGTCCTATATTTAAGGACGGTCAGCGACAGATAGCATCTAACTACCGGCCTGTCAGTCTAACTAGCATAGTCGTTAAGTTACTCGAAAAGATAATTCGGGTTAGGTTGCTAAGCCACATAGATTTACACAATCTGTTAGCTCCTGAGCAACACGGATTTCGTAACAAGCGTTCATGCTTGACTAACTTGCTTATTGCGAGGGAGGATTGGACAGCAGCCCTAGATAACGGTCTGTCTGTCGACGTGATATTCATAGATTTTAGCAAAGCGTTTGACAAGGTTTCACACGTAGGTCTTATGCAGAAGCTCACGAGCTTCGGAATAATAGGTACTGTACATGAGTGGATAGGAAATTTCTTATGTGACCGCAGACAGAGAGTTAGAGTCAACGGAACGCTATCCGATTGGAAGCCGGTCAAAAGTGGTGTACCCCAAGGCACCATCTTAGGCCCTCTGCTCTTCCTTCTCTACGTTAATGATTTACCGCTGTTACTTAGGTCGTCGACATTATTGTTTGCGGATGATGTAAAAATCTGGAGAACAATAAAAAGTGAGGCTGATCATGTGGATCTTCAAGCTGACTTAGACGGTTTAGTTAGATGGGCTCGAGAGTGGGGCTTAGAAATCAATGCTAGGAAGAGTGTACTAATGCACATCGGTCACGGTTATAGTTACCGTTACACTATTGAGGGTAAACCTCTTCCATGTGTTCAAGAGCATAAAGACTTAGGAGTAATATTAAGTCATGATTTAAAAACAACTAAGCATTGCAAAGCAGCCGCTGTCAAAGGTTTTCGTGCGTTATGGTTACTTCGCCGAGCGTTCAAATCTTTTGACGAGGAAATGTTTAGAATTTTATATCCCATATATGTTAGACCACATTTAGAGTACTGTATCCAAGCAGCTAGCCCGTGTTTGGTAAAGGATACTAACTCCCTTGAGCGTGTCCAGCGTGTGGGAACGAAATTAGTGAAGGGTCTTTCTAGACTCCCTTACGATGAGCGTTTAAAACGCCTAAATCTTTTCCCCTTGTCGTATCGTAGGACACGCGGTGACCTTATACTGGCATTTCGTATCTTTAATTATGATTTGGGTGTTAATATGTCTTATCTTTTTGCTCCCTCCAGCACTATTAATCTCCGAGGTCATAGCAAGAAGGTTCATAGACCACGATCTAATAAACTTAAAGTGGGATCCCGTTTTTCTCATCGAGTAGTCAATCATTGGAACGCCTTACCCGAGCAAGTGGTATCAGGGGTGATCTTATCCGCAACGCAACCATGTAAACTTAATGTACCGGTCATCTGTGCGTTCAAGTAACCACAGATTTTGACATTTCATAATGTATTTTTAATTAAATAACTAGATTATATAGCTAATTTTGATCTTTTTTATATTTTTATTCGCCACGTTCGACTGCGTTACACTGCACGTCCATTGCATGCTGGTATGATATCTAAAGTCATAGTGAGTTTATTCACATAGTTGATTGTTTCCAGATAGACTGTCAGTGCATGATTTTACTGTAGAAAGGTTTATTGTACTATAAACTATGTTTTTATGAACAACTACCTGTTGTTTTCAGTATATATATATATATTCTTTGTCTTCTGTTCGGTAAGTTCAATTGGCCTATATTTCGTGTTTTTGTTTTATCGTCTTAATTATGTCCATTTAACTACTTTAAGCAATATGCCTGTGCAAATGAAACAATAACTATGACACTTGCTTAGTTTAGTATTCTTGGTTGTCGTATAATTCAGTTTAGTTGAAAGAATTATGGTATAGTGCTTGAAGTCTGTAACGAAACAGATCAGCCTAGTAAGTAGAGTTGCCTGTTTCTGATGAGTATACTGATTCAAATCAGTCTGACTAAAAATAGGAAAAAAGTGCTTTTGGTACTGTTGCTGTCATACATTATAAGATAGCGATAAGTATGTTTGGTGTTTATTTCTAGATTGTACATCTATCACTGACCATATTTCATGATCACTGTCATTAAACAATTTCCCCAGCAATAACATCGGTAGCAGGATAGCTAAGTGTCTGAGCTTTTATTTGCCCGCAGAAGAGCAGTATACAGTCTTAGAAGATGTGTCTTCTGTATCTCAATTAAATGCAGTTGGCTGTGGCCAAATGTTAAGAATCTTTTTGACAACTAGGACTTTTAGTTCATCAAACAATAACTCTGCTTGTATGTCTCCCTGTTAAACTAGATGCAGATACATGGTAATACTTAAATGAGAGCAAAATAATAAACGCATTGAGATACGGTATTAAGTCCATGTTATGCTTTGCACAATAAATAGCTGACCTGACCTAATATTCATGAACTAAAGGTAAATCACAACTGCATAAATTCTTTGCTAAAATACATGTAATTTGGTTATTTATCTATTCCACATTTCTGACTAAATTCATTACTGTTTTCTCATTTAGAATGCAACAGGACTGAGTCTTCACAGATGTTAAGAACTGTTTCGCCCTTAGAACTATGGCCCTATGGATCTGTTTACGGGAGACCCAACTAACATCAGATTATAAAAAGGATGCTGGATGTCCATTTTAATCTCACAACCACTTCCAGTACTTTTCGAGTTACTTCCTTTACCCTTTCGTTTGGAAAAAACAACAAAAACTGCAGCTTAACATTACAAATGCAACTTTTAGACTGGAACTTGGTTTAAACCTTTGTTTCATATTCGATTCTTAATGAAAGTTCTCGAATAAATTTTCGAACCTAATGCTACTTTGTTTTATCTACTTAATCGTTGCAAGAAACTTGTGATAATCGAGCCTCTCATCACCTAATTCATGTGTTCAGGCTTCCGTGTCTAGTGGCAGGGGATCACCAAAACCTCCAAGCAGGAACCTAGGTATGTTAACAATAAAAGATCCAGTCGCCTCCCAAATGACTCCTGGGAAGTCGCTTGGACTAGTTCGGCGGGCAGCGAATTCCAGCATTCGACAACTCTTAAGGAGTAGAAGTTGCGTCTACAGTCCATTCTGCTATGTCGTGTCTCTAGTTTCTGGGACTAAGCTCAAGTAGGTGTTTAAGAAAATGTCCAGAAGTGTTAAGGATCCTGTAAGTAAATAGGTCACCTCTAAGACGTCTATACTTTAATGAGTAGAGGTTAAGTGATTGGAGGCGCTCTTTATAAGGTGATTTGGTGCATATATCCGTCATTTTCTTGAGAAACCTACAGGCTCGGGTCCTCTCACAACTTATTCTAGCCACCATGAGTTGCCACGAAAACTGGTGGATGGACACGCGTTACACATCCTAACCGTCCCTGCGTCTAATCCCATAGCTTCTTATTCAAATGTCATATGATAAGCAAGTAATGCTTCTACCGACACTAATGGAACACGAGTAATTCAAAGGCACCCTGTATGGTACTTTAGATTGGTCTACGCACTCACTTAGCTCTTTAGTGGGAATATTACTACAGTCCTGCTAAGAAACCCATGAACCCCCCTACCACCATCAAAACAATAAGTCTGTATTTGCTGCATATAGCAATTTTATTTTTTAGAAGATATAACAGTAAGAATTGGAGTAGAATAACAATATACAACAGATGCACGTGGTACATGTCTTCATCGATCATCTGAAATAGAGAATACGGATATTAGCTTAACATGCTTATTTAGAAAGACTAGTGTTTACTTTGAACTTACTGTGTGAGAAAGTTATACTGGGACTGTGAATAATGTAGGAATCTAGTCTCCCAGGGCGTAAGAAGCACTCAAACTGGAAGACAGTTGTCACAAATTAATTCGAATATGAAGTTGAGAATTTGCAAGTACTTTTCATCGTAAAGGTGAACATATTAGATAACGGTTGACATCATACCGTAAAAATAACAAATTTGCGAGTGGTGAATTATGGTCTATAAAAAGCTGAGCTTAATAACAGTTAGTTACCTTTTTACTCCCTGATCATGACCCTTCGGCTTCCTTTTGTGGCCAAAACAGCAAACATACACTACACACTGATAGCAGATTTCCGGCTTTTCAATGTTAAGCTTGCTTTAACGCACTACGTAATGCGTACAACTCCTCCATTACTGCTATGTGGCATATTTTTTCATAACAAACCCTCTGCAATAGATTGGTAGCATCTGTGAATTTGTCTATGGTTGTCGGAAGCCTGAGTACTTTCGAAAACAATACTGACATCCCCTACTGCTAGGCACTAAGTATTAGTTTGACTCATTGGTGGGATATTGTTGTCCGCAATACTGAAGAAAATTAAAAACCGGAAATTGTTTCCTTTCATTTTGCCGATAACATCATAGAGGACAGTTAGGAATGAACATGCGGACAGTTAGTCACAAGAAGCAGCAACAGTTATTTCAGCTCAGGAAAAACGAACTTCGGCTTTTGATATCTTGAAAACAAGTCAAAACTAAACCGATTTCCATTTTAAAACATAAGACTAACCAGCTTGACTGAAGAAATACATTGACTTGAGTAGAAGCAGCAAAAACCCAAAAAACAATGCTGATTCGAAGTAAATTTCACACCAACATGTAGAACCCTACACTAACTGCGGCATCTTAGCACATTGAAACATTAATTACACAGCTACACAAAAGAAATAGCTAAAAGAAGCACAGAACGAAGAAAGCCGGCCGCCATTACGTACAAAGATGGCGGATATAATAATTCCCGCCACATTCTGATTGGTTGCTAAGCTGAAAAGCACATTTACGAAATTGAGTTGCGTTTAATTGCAGCCGGTATCAGCCCTATCAGTGAATACTTTCAAGGAGAAGCTGGACCTTCACTGGAAAGCAATGTGTCAGGATTAACACAGGTTCATCAACCTACTATCCTTATTACTGAAGACTGAAGAAGACTGAAGACTGAAGACATTAATCGAGCATTCGGGCTCGGGATATTGTACATTGCACATGTTAAGCGGCAATTTGGCTTCGTCGACACTGTTTCAAGCACACTATGGTTTCAAGCCCATACATAGTCTTTTTTGATACCTTCACTCACAATGGACAAATCCAAGTAATTCTCTCGAGAAAATTTAAATTATTTTTCATCAGGAAAGTGTAGACTGTGTCCGGTTTAAGAGTGGCATTGAGTTGGTGAAGATATGCATTTTACCGTTCGGTTCTGTAGTCGAGAGTAACTTATCTGATGAACCGCTTTTGGGGTAATTCCGATATTCATATTTGCAGCTGACAAAATAGAGCTACCAATCCTGCATCTTTCGATATAACGGTTTACAGCAACAGCCAAACAAATTGTATTGTATTACAAAGTGTTGCTAAGTAAATTTTGTTCATTCGTTTATATTTGTCTTCACAGGTATTTTTTCAGTGAAAAAACAGGGATCAATACTATCTACTTTAAAAAGCCTATTCAGTCGAACTTTTTACTTTTCCGTGGAATGTACTCAACACTGACAATTGCCCTATTCGGCTTGCCTACTATGTCTCTATCTGTTCAGTCACTGGCTCCAGCCACTAACCTTTCGATACCCCCGCCTACAATGGGCTTAACAATTGGAGCTGTGGAAACAAGTATGTGGACCATTAACCTCTCAAACTTTAGCTACCTCTGGGTTTTATGCTCCAAACAAAATTCCTGAAATTCAGACGGAACAAAAGGTATGTTTTTAATTCTTTCGGTATTTTCTCCTGAGTAGGGGAAATACATCGTTATTTATTGCTCTGTTAGCTTCGAGTCTTTTATGTCTGTGTAAGAGGCATTTTGTGCGCTACACAAGCAGTCCCTACACCGTATTTATAGGACTTAAATGGCTTTCCCTGTCGCCTGGTTAGGATCTTTCACTTAGTTGTCTTAACTTTCGTCGTCTTTATTGTGTCCCAGGATTTTTAATGGAACTACCTAGACTTCCATGACATGACTGAACTTTAAGTTTCTGTTACTTAAAATCTTATCTATTGCTCCAAAATTACCCAGACATATTTGTTGCAAACTATTTTAAATTAGTACCACCCAATTAATTATTATCCCTGTTGTTTGGAGAATAATTAACTGGTACTAAAGCCCTGCGTCCGATAACACGTAGTAAGAACATGAAAAATTGATAATATTGATTTATTTAACCCTCAGAATAAATCGAAATGATAAATGAATACATTCATGTGTTTGTTGATTTTACTCACAATTTATGATTAGTCAATAGTTATCGCATATAGGGAAAATATATAGGACTACTGCTAAAATAGAAGCTACGAACTTCACAGAGTTATTGTAGAGAGTATCACCTCGAATAAACATCATACGGAAATAGATCAATGCTTTACTGAATGAACCATAATACTAAGAAAAACAGTCAGGTTTCTCACTTTCAAGAATTTCAGAAATGTGGTCTTTCTTAAGATATTCTGCATATAGGGTATAACTACAGTGTCGGTTTACTCATATAATCCTTTATTCACTTATTGTGACTGAATTCTCGGGTATTGACCTCTTTCCAGAAAATCCACTTATCGACTTAGAATGCGCAGATGACATAGTCCTGTTTGGTGAAGATGATGATAAAATTCAGTCTTCTGGTAGCACTAAGCAACAATACCAGAATATTTGGAATGCGATTCTCATCCTATAAATGCAAGTCATTGCTTCAGAACTGATCTGTGTCAAAACCTAAACTAAGGATAGCGAGTGAAGTAGTCGAACGCGTTGACAACTTCACTTTTCTTGGAAGTCTGATCAACCCTAATAGGTTGGTGTCTGAAGAAATCTCAGCACAGGTTCGAAAAGCTCGCTTGGCTTTCGCCAAATTACGTCACATATGGTGAAGGCCAGATATCCGTCTGTCAATTAAGGGATGAGTATACTGCGCAGCAGTTCGTTCTGTTTTACTTTATGGCTGCGAAACATGACCATTGAGAGTAGAAGATACTCATAAGCTACTAGTATTCGACCACAGATGCCTTATAAATATTGCTGGCGTCTGCTGGGATCACCGGGTAAGTAATAGTGAGGTTGGACCCAGGGTATTAGGTAATGATGGTAAATCAGTTTATGAGGTTGTGAATCTTCATCGACTGAGATGGTTGGGCCACGTGTTACGTATGCCTGAACACCGATTACCACGACGTGCAATGCTAACCGGTGTAGGGGATGGTTGGAAGAAAGTAAGGGCGACCAAACCAAAACGTGGCATCAGTGCTTGAAGTTACTAACTGCTAGTCTGAGCCATGTTGGTAGATGCAGACTACTTGGTTGGGGTCCGCGTGACTATCCTAAGCAATGGTTGGAGACTGTTGGACAAGGATCAGAATCGATCACAATGGCGTCGGTGCATACACTCCCTGTCTTCCCTTAAACTAAGAGATAAAAATCGCTTCATATTTTTCTTTCTACGAACTAATTCTTTCTTCCTGTACTATATCCTTATTGCAATCCTTCCCCTATATACTACCACCTTTGACCTAACCACTGCTATGAATCCGGTGTTTATTTTGCTGTGCTAATGAGGTATGACAACTTGGAGCGATGCATATATGTGCCTGGTCCTACGTTGTAGCTGACTGACTGACCATTGTGACAACTGTTATGAAGTCTCATAAGTACTTGGTATTTTGTGGCCCTCGAGGGGATTTAAAATCTTGTAGGACATGTGAAATTGAACAAGTGAGTCGTAGTAAGTCTTGTTAAAATTCATTCAGGTAGTAAATAGTGATTCGTAAGGCTAAGATTTGACTATTTAGACGATTAAATCCCAGCTAGAGGTGAGTCTCGAATGTTATTGTGAATTTGTTGTTCATCTTGATTTGTCACAGCAGTTTGAAAACAAGCCTATTAAGTGGCGACTCTTATAAGTTTAAACAGATACTGGTCGATGTAGTGGTTGAATTTTTAACTTTACCTTGGAAAGTTAAAAAGTGCCACGTTGTATAGCGTCTTTTTCCGTTGGGTGACTGTGAGACTTAAGCATGGTTTCGTACACAAAGCTTTTAGTTCGACTTTCATGATTTTCCTGTTCACATCCTATGCTGCTTTTTTGCGTTAGACTTTCTGGACTTTGTAGGTAATAAAATTCTTCTGAACATATTTCACTTTTTCATTCTGTAGCTCAGTGTTGTTTTCATTGAATTGGTCTTTTTATTTTTAGCCTGACGTTTCGAGTAATTGGCAACAATGTAGTGTCCAAACATCTGCAGATAGTTATATGAAGTCTCAGACCCTAAATGTTTGTTCACTACAACTTGAAAGTGATCAGTCTTCCGTCCTTCCTGTTACAGAGACTGAACTGGAGGAGAAAGTAGATGATCCTAAGGCATTGAATACGGAACCTGCTGGTATTTATGAAGATGGTGAGATACAAGTAAGTTTTGGTAAACCGTTACTTTTATGACAGTCGGTAATTTCCAAATAGTACTTTGTGTTATCTAGTGTGTTTGATAGGTAAACAGTTTTATTAGTGTACAGATGTGCAAGACGGAATCGTTGGTCTTGAATTTTGCGTCCTTTAATCAAACAGAACTTCATTTGCATTTCTTGACTCTCATCTTTTGACACATCCATCATGTCCCTTTCCTTTTACGGAAGTAAGTTAATGTATTTAGGTGCGAAAGATCAGTCCCTTTAAAATATGTTGGAGCAATTACTTCTGTAGAGTTTTGGGTACGATATTTCAAATATAGGGACGTATTTGGTTAATTTGTATCCTTTAAGCTTTGTAATAAAACCATTCTCATGGACTTCAAGTTGATTTTTGATTTGAAGTCAGTATTTAACCTTATCATTTTGAAGTTTTCATAGCAACGCTTAATTTTGGAGAGTGTACGGAATAGCTACTTTACTTAAATCCATGGAGTTTTGTAAAGGCTTAAAGGGGTTCCATTTAAAGCGTTTTGGTTTTCTTTTTGCTGTTTTAGACGGTTCTGTTAATTTCGTAACCGGAGATTCACTGTCATTCTTAGAAAGTTCCAAGTGGCTTTTAATGCTTCAGATTTAGTTGGATCGATAGTTACCGGTCGAAAAGCATATTTGATTCTTTTGTAGCGAATGATCTGTCTAACTATCTTTCAAAATATTTCATTCAAAATTCAATGTATCCTTGTATGTTACTGGTTGGCGTCCCGTTTAAATTAGCATATTTTTTCCACAAAAATCATGTTTTTATCTGGATCAGTCAAAATATATTATAGCTGTTATTAGATATAGTTGTTGCTTTCGAACTGTTAGCATACCATGCTCTTAACGAAGCTTTCCGGTCCGTCCTTTATTCTATTTTATGTTGTAGGAAGCTATCCCTTGCAAGCTGGGGCATTTTAGTGATATCTTGTCAGTGTATTCAGTGCTTATCTGAACTGATAGCTAAATAATTAGTTGCAACAATATATATATATATATATATATATATATATATATATATATATATATATATATATATATATATATATATATATATATATATATATATATATATATATATATATATATATATATATATATATATATATATTCGAATTTAAATTGTCCGATAAGGTTTGTGTGCAATGGCTTGAGTTACGTTTATTGCACTTATTATTTATTTATTATTTATTTATTTCAACACATAGATAATGGTACAAAGAGGCACCAAATACATATGCGCCACACAAATCTCATCCGATATGTGTGAGGGCTGTGATACTGCCCGGGTGCCCAAACCGAAGCAGGTGGTTTTCTTAGGGGGCCACACCCCAAGCCTTCGACCTGAGGGTCTGATCCACAAGACAGTGGAGCATCGTAAGGAGATGCAGTCCCATGGAAGCCGGTGACCAACAATTGGTTCATTCGCCATTTGTTCCCGCAGGATACTGGAGCCCATGTGCACCATTGGTTTGGAATCCGGTTAAAGCGCCGGACATTCGCTTTTCGTCCTCTCATTTTCGTAAACAACACCCCCGCCACGAGAAGGCAGTGAGTAGGACTTCCCTGGCAGAGGCTATATACGCGTGGCCGTGTGAGAGTATTTCGAGGGGGAGAGCGGACTCTCCCCACTCTCGGCCGTACCAGGGCATTTGGGGGCACTTACTATAAATGCTACCTGAGTTTTCTGATCACAGTAGTTAGATCAAGTTTGATCACTATGTTTCAGCCTTACTATAGATATTCTGTGCAAATATCATTATAAATTTAGTGTTTTTGTGCTTTGTCTAGTGTATAACATTACTAGCATTATCCACCAAATTTATGACGTACACTTTCGTTTATTCTATATATAGGATGTCGATTATGAGGAAATATCATCAAATGAAGAAGTGTTTTCCGAAATCGAGGATGGTGAGAATTTAGAGGTATTGGTTCTTATATTTTATGTACTTTCTGATTCAAATCAGTGTTAAGAGTTCATTGTTAGATACCTTAGGTTATAATAAAGTTCTTTGGAGTGAAAAATGGAATTTCATTGAACAAGACCTTTATTTTAACGAGATATTTTCATTAAAATGTATTTTTAGTTAACGGAAGTCCTAAAACAAATGTGTTAAAATGGTGTTACTTCAAAGTTATTCTAGTAAGAGATATTGGCATTCTTCTATAATTGTGGAGAGTATTAAATGTGAAATCCAGTGAAAACAGTGAATATAATCTGCATTAAAATCCATAGTTAGCATTATTAACCTGTTGAGTGAAGACGGGGATTACTTTTAAGGATAATCTTAAATTTTCCTGAAAATTAAGGGACAGTTGCCATAATGATCTTGGTAAACTCTTGATAACACCTTTCTATTGTCACATTTTATACATCCAGGTATGCAGATAAATCCAAACTATAAGTGACTGATTTTTCACACCTACAATATATCAAGAAGATTATACTAGAACGGTATATTTTTGCTTCTATTCTCAAATCTTAAGATCATATAATTTGTTTACCAAATTGTTTCAGATTGGTGATCAACAGTCAGATATTGAAGAAGTTAATGAAATTGAATCTCAAATTTCGTCATGCCAATGGCGCTTCAATCCATTTGATTTAATCGACCAGTATACTACCGTATTTTCATGCGAATTCCATCGGATTGCAGATCCAACACTAACCTTATTCCAGGTGAACGACAGTACTGTGCTATCATTTCATTCGATTTCAGTATTTTTTGAATGTTGATTTATTAACCTAGATACCTCATTGACCACCAGTTTATAAACTTATGGTTCACCTCTGTTAAACCAATTATTATAGGTTACCTCGTGGTTTATACAGTACGAATGATTCATAACGGCTTATCCTCATTATCTTGATATGTTAACTGGTTTGTTTCTGTTCATAAATGGAGAAAAGGACTTTTTATCGTTTAAAACATATTATGGTCTGGAAGTGCTGTTTAGAAGTTAGAGTGGGTTGCTAGTTGTTTTACGCGATAGCACGTGCCTCACAACTACACTTTTAAAAGTTCCTTTCACTTATACACTTTCGTTATGAGGCAGATTATTGCTCAAGACATGGTAGAAAATCATTCTAAACCGGTAGTTTTATATTGTACATGTTTTCACTAGCTACACTGCTGGCTGTTAGAACGTGGATCATTGGGTAAAGATCAGTTGTTTTCAGAAAATGAAATGTTTCATCAGAATTCCAGTGAAAATGAAGTTGGTCCGAACATAAATTTACTACCCCCTCCGGATGATTGGGCTGATGCAAGTCAATCTGCGGAATTTCTAGTTGAAATGGCGAAAAAATACTGTTCAGGATCAACTACAGGCTTTCATGAAGAGTAGGTGGTATATTTTAACCGGGTTTCTTGCCTTTTATTATATATTTATTTCTATATTCCCACTTACTGTTTAATTTTGTAAAGTTGTATTCTGTGCTTGTGTACCTGTTATACCACAAAGTATTGTCTATTTTGAAAAAAAGTAAAGAGTTTCTCAGTATAAGAGACTTTTGATGTTTAGTTTCTGTTGGAATTCACGTTTCACATACATATCGAGTCATGAGTCAAAGTTATAAACAAACTTCCGACCACTATTCTCGATTTTCGCTGATATAATTGAAAATGTATCGAATGTATGAAAACATAGTAGGAGACATAATTTATTGTTAATAGTATAGGAGGTTGTGGCAAGCACATTTGACCACTGTATCATTTGTCTATTCATTGTAACTCAGACACTCAATTCATGTTAATTTGTGTGCATTTCAGACTCTTAATTCACTATGTTAAGTTCGGTGTGTATGATCGAATGCATGTCTGTACATTAACCCCTAAGCTATTCTCCTATTGGTGGTAATATACAGATAATCAATAATTTATCCACACCTGATTAACTCTGAAAAATATATATGGATTTTTGACACACACACTGACTCACTCACTTTGTTTCATCGTGTGCTTGCTCGCTGTACGCTTGTGGATTTTTATTGATCATTAACAATAAACTATCTCTGTAACTGGTGTTCAGGCTTCTCAATAATCTCGAGTAAATCCGCAATTCTACTAGGAGATTAAGCCTACCTTAAATACTCAGTTTTACGGGATATTATTTATTGGAGTCAGATATTGAGGACATTAGCCTCAACATATTAGCAAGCCGCCGTCACAACACATCGGTGACCCGCCTTTAGAACGCGCACCATTTTCCTCCAAAGTCTGCTGCATTCTCCTCAAGAGTATCATAAAGAACTTCATATTGGAATTATTATTATAATTAATAACAATCCATTGACAGTCATAATAAATTCACTCATAATATTTTCCCTTTGGAATTATTACTGTATATTCTCATACATATACCCAAAGTGACAATTTTTCTTTTCGGTGAGTCTTATATATTTTTTGTTGTTATTTTTGATTTCTTCATATTGTATATTTCAAACCTCAGCTTATTATTATTATTGCTCCTTCGTACCATGTCAGTTGATAATTCGCTAAGCCTATCATCTAAATCTATTTCCATGGGTGCCATTTCTGTACCTTTACCTATTTTTAATCCACGAAAGGCTGAACTCTGGTTTGCTCGCTTAGAAAGCTTTTTTGTTGCAAACAAAATCACAAATCAGAGTACGAAATTTAGTTACGCAAACTCACTGCTGCCGGACGACATCATTGAACAAGTGCCTGATGTCATTTTCAAGCCAGATCCTGACTCACCATTCGATTGTCTAAAAAGAGCGGTCATTCGTGTAACATCTCTCACTGACCAACAGACAATTGATCAACTTTTAACCAACATGGAGCTAGGTGATAATACACCATCACAGTTAAAACGCCACACGACAATCTGGCCTATCTGTTTCGTAAGGGTATCAACTGATCGTCGTAACTCGGCGATCTCATCAGTTGGGCTTGATTGGATGTGAGATACAGGGTGAGTCTTGGACCGTTCGTAAATTCTGTCGGCTATGTCTGCCAGCCTATCAAAATCGACGTATTCGTCTCCAATTGCAAGTATCTGTTGAATGTTTCGAGGGAGACGTCTGAGCCACAATTGATATAGTAGACGTTTGTCTACTGTACGATTTCCTAATAAGTTTGTCATGTGGCGTTTCAACTGTGATGGTGTATTGTCACCTAGCTCCACGTTGGCTAAAAGTTGATCAATTGTCTGTTGGTCGGTGAGAGATGTTACACGAATGACCCCTCTTTTTAGACAATCGAATGGTGAGTCAGGATCCGGCTTGAAAATGACATCAGGCACTTGTTCAATGATGTCGTCCGGCAGCAGTGAGTTTGCGTAACTAAATTTCGTACTCTGATTTGTGATTTTGTTTGCAACAAAAAAGCTTTCTAAGCGAGCAAACCAGAGTTCAGCCTTTCGTGGATTGAAAATAGGTAAAGGTACAGAAATGGCACCCATGGAAATAGATTTAGATGATAGGCTTAGCGAATTATCAACTGACATGGTACGAAGGAGCAATAATAATAATAAGCTGAGGTTTGAAATATACGATATGAAGAAATCGAAAATAACAACAAAAAATTTATAAGACTCACCGAGAAGAAAAATTGTCACTTTGGGTATATATATGAGAATATACAGTAATAATTCCAAAGGGAAAATGTTATGAGTGAATTTATTATGACTGTCAATGGATTGTTATTAATTATAATAATAATTCCAATATGAAGTTCTTTATGATACGATTGAGGAGAATGCAGCAGACTTTGTAAGAAAATGGTGCGCGTTCTAAAGGCGGGTCACCGATGTGTTGTGACGGCAGCTTGCTAATATGTTGAGGCTAATGTCCTCAATATCTGACTCCAATAAATAATATCCCGTAAAACTGAGTATTTAAGGTAGGCTTAATCTCCTAGTAGAATTGCGGATTTACTCGAGATTATTGAGAAGCCTGAACACCAGTTACAGAGATAGTTTATTGTTAATGATCAATAAAAATCCACAAGCGCACAGCGAGCAAGCACACGATGAAACAAAGTGAGTGAGTCAGTGTGTGTGTCAAAAATCCATATATATTTTTGAGAGTTAATCAGGTGTGGATAAATTATTGATTATCTGTATATTACCACCAATAGGAGAATAGCTTAGGGGTTAATGTACAGACATGCATTCGATCATACACACCGAAATTAACATAGTGAATTAAGAGTCTGAAATGCACACAAATTAACATGAATTAAGTGTCTGAGTTACAATGAATAGACAAATGATACAGTGGTCAAATGGGCTTGCCACAAGCTATTACAGTCTTCATGTTTTCTTGCTACATAATAAACAGTACGTTGGAATTAGACTTCGTCACCTAAATATAATTTCTCTTGTAGATATCTATCAGTTGATCCAATTTATTCTACATCCACTTTATGAAACATGTTAGTCTTGTGTATGAACTATTGTTAGGAGAGTGTTTTTCAAAGCCGCTCAATCTTATTTTTAATTTGCTGTCTTAATACAAAGCTCACATAGTGTTACGTGAAGTAGCTCAATTGATTGCATTCTGAATAATTCTGAACCTATAAGGGATGTAAGTTGTTTGAGGTAAATTTATATCTGGTAAGCTAAAGTAGAGGAACAGTCATGGTCAGCTAGTTTGACAGAATCATTTTGTCCTGGTTAGATTTTGTGACTCATCCAAATCAAAACTCATTGTTAGTGAGCAGATAAGAGTTCCAGATAGTTGTTGTTTATGCCTACATGATAAGTATGTTGATGGTTTGCGCTTGGTTATTTCATTACAATAAGTTGCAATCCCAGCGTTTTTTAGATGTTTATAATTACTTTAGCTTCCACAATTAGATACAAATGATAGTTTCGAAATACTTGCTCTTCTGTATCCTTCTCGAATAAAGGTGATATTTCTTAAGAACAAAGACGAATGTTTTTGCCAGTCGTTTTCATCTTTAATGAACTTAAACGCTGTGTTAGCATTGTTATATGTTAACGTTTTAAGAACATTTATAATGTAGGTATACTATGTATAGCACAGTTTGTCGCTCATCCGCTTGTTTGGTCAACGGTGCACAACTAGGGGGAATGTTTAGGTCTTAGTTGGCTTAATCGTCGGTGGTAACTGTGACTAAACCGGTTAATGTGCTTAACTCTCAACCATTAGGCGAGATGTTTGGATGTCTTCGCAGCTACTTTAGTTCAGGTAACCTGGTAGCATCATTATCTCTAATACAGTGTTTGACTGCAAACCAGGTAAAGGAACTTATACTTGTGGTTATTGAGTTTCTCTTATTAATAGTTGTTTTATTGTGTATGTAAGCTTTTTTTTAGATTAGATTAAGGTAGTATCTTATATGATATCAATTGATAATAAATATTGTGTTGATAACTGATTTATTTCAGATGGGTTGATGCTTTGGATACTATTGGTACTCATTTGGCTGAAAGTTTAGCTTTTCTGTACTGCACAGATCGGAATTTGTATCAGAGTATGTTTTATTTTGATTAGATAATTTAATAATGACAAAACTTCAATTATTTAGAAATTTTCGAATTTCCTGTTAGTTTTAATAGCCACAATCGCTATACAGTAACTTACATAATGACGTAGCTGTACTTTAAGTCAAATCGATATATTCTTTGCGTGATTTAAAAGAACCATGCTTTAGTTATTCTTACTGCATCTGATTTGCTTACTGCTAAATAACAAAGCACTACTTAGTAATTGGGGATTTAAAAAATGGCAGCAGTAATACCATAGTCGGATATGTTCAAACTTTGTGAAAAAAATCATGGATTAATGACTAAACTTCAGAGTAATGCATCGAACTATCAAACCAACGTTGCTGTCTACTGTTGTCCAGCCAAACAATTCCTATTGATTATAGGAATTGTAGCCTAGAGAAAAAAAGACTTTCCAAAATCACTGATTATTATAATTATATTTTGCATAGGTCTGCATATACCTTTTCTCTCTATTTTTTCTACTAGGTGTCGTTGAAACGCTTCAGTTATGGGTTTACACAGGTTTAAATATGGATTTGGCATTAAGTCAACCGAATGCATCCTACATTGTTAAGCATATTATGGCTGGTGTGAATCTAGCTGGTCTTGTAACTAGTACAATTAATTCAGAAATAGCAAATGCATTACTTTATCCAGTTTCTGCAGAAAATGGTAATAATACAAATTTTGCACAGATAGAAGATTTACAAGTTAGTAATTTTAATATGAATTTTAAATTGTTATGTGTAACTGTTATCATTCCCATCCATATACATATTTGATTTTAATAAACCGATGGGAAAAATACATTTGTAAATAATATGTCTTGCTAGATAAACTCTCGATTCATTTTCCTAGTTGGTTCTGAAACCCCCAACTACTTCCACGCGACAAGAGGGCGCGAATAGAAGCTATAATCCATGGTTATTTTTACTGTTCCAGATAGTCATGAGCTTTTAGGATCTTCTGGAACCATGCTATATTAGTCACATAGGTAATTACCCAATAACAACCGTGACACGTGATTTTTTATTTTCTGCCAAGATTCTATTCAGTACTGCTTGGATAACAAGTTTCTTGGGGTTTATGCACCTCTAGGGACTTTTTGATGGATACTTTTGGGACTCCTCCTACAGTAACTCCCAAAAGTTAAGGTGACGAATAAGTTTGCCATGTGCATTAAAGGCGACATATCATCGCTTTTTATGTCCACCCATCTTCATTAGAAAATTTTAGTAATGCAGCACAATACTTAAACGATGTATATTTTTCCCGAATATGAGAAAAATGGGATTATTATCTTGACAAACAATCATCTTATGTTTATTTTACTTGATTATTCCTTGTGTACTTCTCTTTAGTTTATTGTACCAATCTCTTTATTTTTATCAAATACTTGTTGGCTGGTTGAGTTCTTTTTCATTATTTTCTCCTATACTTCCATTTGTTTGTCAGAATTTTGAGCTCTGTACTTTATCATTGTTTCTATTTCTGGCAAAGTATTGTTTTAATTTGAGAACATGTGTGATTTGAAGATCAAAATAATTAGTATTTAATTGTAGACGAATTTACTAAATGACTGTCAGGGCATGAAGATGTTCTTAATTGTGATTTTAACTGACATTATACCATTAAACGTATTGTCGAATTAGAAACACTATCAAATAATATTCAGATATTTTTTTGTTTTATTTGTTTTTTGTTGGTTCACTGAACTGTTCGATATATATCGTCATAATTGCAGGTTCAACATTTACTCTTAAATCTTTTGGAATCTCCTTTGATTACAACACCATTAAGACTTACTATCTGTCGTGCTTTGGATCAAACTACACGATTGCCTATTGGATTAAATGCCTTTTTGGGGATAACACAAATAAATTCAGACCGAAAAGGTGATTTTAAAGAAAATTTGGACAGTTCCGACTTTAAATCCCTTGAAACCAATACAAATTCTGATGATGTAGATCACTGTCATACAATTAAAACAAATGATGAAGATAGTGAGCAATTCAGTGATCAAACGAAATGGGATGAGTCTAGTAAAAAGCAACATGTCATTAACAGTGATGATGTGGAAATGTTTGATAGACATTTACCATCCAACAAAATTCAATCACCTTATCAACGTTTCATTTTTATTGTCAGTTGTAGTAAAGTAAGGCTTATATATATTTATACTTATTTCAATTTATTATTGTGGAGGTTATATGATTGATTGATTTATAAATGTATGACTGACTGACATAATCTTGATTGTTATAAATGATTCACTGTATATCTTATTCAAATGTGTGTCACGCCGATTCAAGTTTACTCAAATTAATCCCCTTATTCTAATACATTTCAAATAAGTATGGTATATTTACTTAGATTGATGGCTCAGTGATTATGATGTTTGACCTTCAGCTACTAGATCACAGTTTGGAATACCGATCCACCTTCTTCAGTTCCTGCTTCAGAAGTGTATCATTAACTCACACACATAAGGTGTGACTGAAAGTCCAGTACATGAATTAGAAATTTGTGATAAGTTTCAGCATAAAGTCTTTCATAATTGTTATAACTAAAAATTGTACTTACTATTCTTGAATCACGTTTTTACCATTTAAATAAGCAGTGTTTAATCTTCACTTACTGTTTTAACAATATTGTTTTTCTATAAATTCTATTCTCTTATTCAAATATGTTAATTTTCTTACTTTAGAACTCTCGTACAACTGCTGCATATGAAAGACTATTAAATAAAGTACATACTTATGAACTCTTACTGGAGTTTCCAAAGTTAGTAAACCGGTGAGTTTTCAGTGTCTTCTAGGATTTTAATTGAATATTCATGAAACAGTAATGTAACAAAACTGTTTCAATGTCAGTTAAAGCTAGATAAATTAAATATTGTGATATGTTATGCTGTAATGAACCCACTCAGGAATTACTCAATCTAATATATTCTGTATATTTTTATCTTAATGGAAGATCATTTTCACCGTAGGCTGAGAAAAAACTACACGATCGTTCAAGACCAGGAGGCATTGAAATTTGTTTCGTCCTAGTTTTAACTTCGTATTTGGTGTGTTTTCACTACTCCGAATGGAATGGAGATCATAATTTTTAAGTCTTTTGTGGTGAATGATATAATCTGATCACTAATTTGGAATCTGATCTTCCATATTTTGCAACCTCATTCTAATATAATAAGGAATAAATAAAACTGGTGGTTAGGTTTTGCCTATATTAGCTGATAAATAGTTTAGAAAAATCTATTTCCTATATTTGGTCACCTTTTAAATGACTTCTAATGTTTCATTGTTTTGTTTTAAATATTTTGTATATATATCATTAATCAAAAAAAGGAACAACTCTGGTTATTAGTTATTATCTCTTTTAATATCTGTTTGCTGATATTCAAGTAGTTAAGCTCATTCTTAATGTTTTCAGTTTACAAAAAATCACTGAACAACAATTGTCCGGAAATGATGATAGTTTGTTTAAAATTATGGAATTACAACAAACTTTAATCAACCATTTAGGAAAACTTAAACATATTTTTCAAAATGCTGAGCAAATCATAGTAAGTCAGTTATTGTTGTACATTATTGCATTATATTAATTTTTTTTTTATCACTATCTGTTTGTCTGTTATTACTATATTTAATGAACATTGTACTATGTGTTCTTCTGTCAATTTATTTTAAGATAAAGTGAATCTATAACATTATTATTTGAACTTTATGTCGTATCTGCTTTGATAACATACTTATCAAACCATATAAATCAAATAACCGGATACCCATTTTAAACTATAATCCACAGATGCTATGCATGAGAGATGATGAAGCTATTTAACAATCTAGATTTTTCGAAATGTCACTGGTTTTTTAAATTATAATCTAGTAGGTTAAAAATTAATCCCCTTTATTAAGTTTAAACTCCACCTGAATTTTTTGATCAATCTACTTGTAGATTTTACCCATTTTATCAGTATTTGTAGATATATCATTGATTCAATATAGTCTTATGGAATATGCAATTTATGGTTTTAGTATTGTTTTTACAGATATTAATCGTCGTTTGGTTGTTTTGTTTCTATTTCTACATTCTTCAATGCTAATTTATTTTCAGTTTACCAGAATTTCACATATCTAGCTTATTTTATTCTTGATCATTTCCATAAACTATGTAATGTGATACTTTTAAAAATTTCAAGAATAGATAATTAATGGCTCGTAAAGGGAAACGAGGAATCATTGATTCATATCAGATAGACGCATATAATGTTGAATAATAATCAGGAGAATGTCTTGATTCCATGTAACAAATAGTTGTATGTATGTAGTCCTATATTTCGTAAACAGTTTGAGTGATATAATTGAACTGATAAATACATTAAGAACTGGCTGAAAAATGACAATCATCTTAATATGTTGATTACATTGTTAGTGATGGATAGAAAGTACGTTTTCAATTAACCAATAAAGTATGACTTATGTAAAAGTTTGTCATAAAGTAGCAGTAGGCAGTTTTGTGTAATGTTGTTAGAAAAAACACATAAATTTCACAAATTTTTCATGCAGATACTGAACCATTTCTCTTTTATGATTTCTCAAAAATAACTACAGAATTAATGTGCAACTACCCTAGGACTATTTTATTAGTATTATTTAGTTTAAAATATAATTATCACTATGATGTTGGTATAACACTGTACTCCCATGATTTATTAAGCATTAATAAAACTACTTTCTTTTCGTTATCTTTCTTTCCTAGTGTTATATTGTTACGGTCAATGGTTTGTAAGCATTTTACCTGAGTAATGCAAAGCTTTGAGATATTAAAGTCCCAGTATAGATGATTGCGAGTTCATTGCTTTGGATAGTGAATTTTTGGGACAATTAAATGTCATCATTGAGGAATTCTTTTAATTAGGTGTTAGATGGTGATCAATAAGCACAGTCTCTTCTGAGTAGTTTTTGAGTAATCATATATGCTTAAAATTTAAATACTGTAGCAAAAAAATTAAAATTTTCTAAGAATTAAATTTTAGATGAAATGGTTGAAGGTCCGTCTTAATGGTACTCAGATTAATTCATTTGTTATATCTCTATTAATTTCAAATTCTAATATTTATCTTTTTCATTCGGGTTTGTATGGTTGTTGTAACCAATGGTTAGAAACGTTAAATGACATGGCTTAGAATCGCTCTCAATCGTGCAAGTGAATTCACGCTTTGTTTTCTCTTGGATCCTAATTTCCTAAATTCATTATGAGTTTTTTTTATTTCAATAGTTTATATATTCTTCTCGAGTCATATCTTCGATACCTAATCGTTTCTTTTGGCACATATTGTTACTATTTCTATTATTTTAGCACTTACCCCTTCTTCTTCCTCTTATTATTATTACTCTTATTATGATTATGATTATTGTTATTTTTTTTAATTATTATTATTATCACCAGATTGTTTGGCTTCTCATCCTCCTAACGTCCTGTCACTGTGCTTTTGTTTAATGTGGCAGCTTAGACTGATTCAGTTTTGTTTCGGAATCAAGTTCGCTTGTGATTTACCGACAAATAAAGTGGTTGATTTATTTAAATGTTTAACTAAAATAGGTACAAATTCAATATATGATTGTCATGATTTCTCAGTTATTATCTGAGTGGGATCGAATATATTTTTTTGGTGTGAATTATATTAAGTTTTTTCTAATGAAGTGTAGTCATGTCAGTACACTAACATATTATCTGCATATATATTTAATTTTAATTGTAGGCAAATCCGAGATATTCTCTCCCATGTCCATTATTGTTAAACGGTAACAAATGTATCTCTCACAATCCATACGCAGATTTATGTGCCATGCTGGACTCTTGGCAAGTTTACTGTTTCATGAAGAGCGCTTTTTTTTTTTTTTCTTGCATAAATCATAAGTGTAATAGTAATAATAAGAGCAGAAATAGTGAACAGATGGGTTTTTAATATACTTTTTTTTCAACTGAACATTTAAAACTATTTAGCTCATGTTGCTAGCTCAAAATTCAGTTCACTTTGTTAGCCTTGAAATTTAGTAAACACTAACATCTCAAGCTTATTATTACAAACAAGTAAATGAGCAATAAAGTTTTCAATTATGGCACTGAATGTGTTCAAGTTCAGATTGTAGAAAAATCGTACTTCGATCTTGAACACATATGCTTTAGAGAAGAATAAAATTACTACTATAAAACATGAATGTACAGTTCTCAGACGGTTAGCTTTTAATATTTAAGACTAATCGCCATCCTCTCCAGTATTATTCCTTTTAAACACTCAGCTACGATAATTTCCATTATTTGTTTTCTAAAACAATTGAGGGTTAATACAAGTTATGCTGAGGGAGTCATTTTGATTAAGTCGTCACCAGAAGTTAATGCTTATAAATAACCTTATCCAAAATCTGTTTTTTAATTGCTCCCGTAAAGTTGAATTAGGCATTCTGAAACTGATTTTCAGTTTCTGATTCTCAAGAATGTTTCGAACTCTACAAATACGTACATACTTCATATTGTATCACCGTCGATCAGAGCTTTCATAAACCTTCTGTGTTTTCCTTCTCTTCGCATTTGTTAAAGGATTAGAGGATATTTTTGTCATGAGTTCTTTGGATTGAGTGTCCGAGATAAGTAGTAGGAGATGTACGTTGTATCATATATATATGTTGATAGTTGCTCTTAAATTTTCATATATCCTCATTTTTATTCTTTTAGTGATCTGATTAATTCTTTGACTGGTTTAATGAATCAACTCACTAACATCCATGAAGATTTCTTACACGAAAGTGAATTAGATAGTCATTATGAAATAAATCTGTCGTGTTTAGTCACTCAAATTCAAGCGTCAATTCATGAATTATTATGCACTTTGTGTTGTCATTCTTCTGGTTTGTTGTTTTTGGCTTTTCGACCTGAATCAACTAGTCTACTAATTAAGGCTTGTTTACAAACATTTTCCAATATCATGTTGAAGGATACCATGAGTAACAGTAAAACAGTTGCATCAAATTATTTAATATTCGGTTTGGAGTTAATTTATAAAATTGAGGCTTTACGATATTTAGATTTACTGATTGATTGGACAAGAAGGAAAGGTTTGTTTATGTTAAACTTATTATAATAACTTAAATATTTGTATAATTAAATCTATATGGATTTATTTAGTATATATATATATATATATATATATATATATATATATATATATATATATATATATATATATATCTGTCGTGCTGCTGTTAATGTTGAGCGTTGTAAGATTTCTAAACTCTCAGGTCACGGGCCTGAGTCCTGCCTCATATACAATTCGGTGTGAGGGGTTAAGTAGTGTCATCATTGCAGTAAAAATTTTTCATGATAAATCCGAGTAGAAAGTGTTATATTTAGTTATTGAGTTTCATCATCTTATTGATATGTTCACCATTACAAGTTCAAATCTGTGAGGTAATCAAAATACATAGTTTTAGATAATTAATAATATGGCTCGAAAGTCACAATATCACAGATTCAGTTTCTATTTTTCATTAAATCTTCAGGTTAGTGTATTTTAGGTGGTTGTCATCTTACGATCCTTTAATTCTTTTTAACTACGTATCTAGTATTTATCTGTCTACTATAGATCAAATGATCATTTTTCATTCTCTATTTATCATCTCGTTGATTTCCCTTTTTTATTGTTCTGGTTGAGTCGACTTGGATTAATTCCTGTTTGTACTAAATTTTACAATTCATATGACTGACTGTTTTTGATTAGGATTAAGGATGTTTTGATATTTCTCGTGGCAGACGAGTATTATTGTTTAAAAAGATTATATGCATCACTTCGAAAGAACTGTCACTATTATATCCATTTATAATTTTGTCTACAATCATAATCATATTTTACATCTGGATTAGTAGAGTTATGACTACAAATCATAAAACGTTTGTGAACTATATTTTGTTGTTATACTTATTGAAATTAAGTCTTTGAATTGTAATAGTTTTCCTGCATGCATATGTGTAGACATCGTTATAACATGGAATTTCGTATATAGTCTATCAGGCCAGGTTATCGCAGTCCTTATCTTTTGAAACCATTTCAGTACTTTTTATTTCGATCATATTAATATAAATTTTATTATCAAATATAATTTTTTCTTGAGGTATGACAGGTGTTTATTCCTTTATTACACAACTTCAATCAGAGACTAATATTACTGCTGATCTCCGAGCCAATGAAATCAATATTCGTGATGCTTTATTCGGATTAACCAGGTTAACATTGAATTCTATTGGACAATTTTCTAATTTTATGGATATAGATTCAATCAATAATGGTTTTATGGATGATGATCATTTGTTTAATGTAGAAAATATAAAAGAATATGTACTTACAACTCTTACTACTGCAGCGCCTATATGGATTGCTGATGTGGTCGCTATGGATGATTATTTTGCTCCATTATTAATGATAATTGAAGCTTTCTCTGAGCAAGATTTAGATGCAAAAGGTGGAGGAAACAGTACAGGTAATAAATCAATGACAAAAAGTGAAAAACCGAAAAGTTCAAGTGATGATATAAAATCTAATAGTAAGTTACCTGACATTCTGTATGAAGATCCTATTGAGTATATTAAATCTTGTTATTTTCCATATAGTTGCATGTGAGTTTTTAAATTCACTATATACAGTAGTATGCTTTCATTATGTGACTAATTATTTACCATTCAAATCTAAATTCATTTTGATCTATATACTTATTATAATCTTCATATATCTTTGTTAGCGGGATATAGATTAGATTAAAGCATGTTCCGCGCAATATTGTGTTGATTCAGTCAATCCCATTAATTATTTTAACCAAGGATTGAAGGCTATAATTGACAGTTCGGAATTCGTTGCAGTATCTCAGATCTATTCCACTAAATCTGTAGATTAAAAATAATCTTATACTTTTGTTTCCTTCAAATTTATTTTTTCCTCCCAAATCATATTGTCTATAACTAAGTGATTTTTACTATCACTGATACTCTTACTACTTTACTATTGTCTTGCTAATCTCATCATATTGTACTAATAAGGTGACTTGTACCAATGTACATATGTGCTTAATTTTAAGTTTCTTTTGATTAACTAGTTAATTGTTGTGTATCCATATAATCATATTTCACTGTTGAATGTTAGAATATTCTTGTTTTCTTTTTAAAGAAAATGCTTTTCTATTACTTCGGATGGCTTAATCATGTCTCCATATAACGGTTTATGATAATGTATTCTGTTAGTATTTTCATTTTGAATAACAGTTATTAATTAATCTTTATTCAAGGGATTTTATATTTTGATGCTAATTTCTTTAAAAGTAACTATTTCTTTTAATCATAATATAAATTATTATTAAACTTGTTTCACATTAACATGAAAATCGTGCCAAGTGTAATATTTAGAACGAACTTAGTTATATGTTTGTATTCTCATCTTAGTGTCCGTTTTATCTATGACCAATTTTAACAATGCTTTTTTTGCTTTATGGTTTTGATAAATCTTGTCAATTGAACGCTATACTTGTTCCTAAGCTATTCCGGTAATCCGCAGTCTAGAACTACAGCGACTTGAACACCAGAGAAAAGACACAAGGATACTTTATCCCAAGGTTCATTCTTGTACAGAAAATCAAGGGTATTTATAGATGTTGGCGTCTGTTAAATCAACATCATTTTACAGCCAATTTGATAACGATATACTATGCTACCGACCAACAGTAGCACGCCACGTTGGAATTCTAGAACGTTCCATCATACTCTGATTGGCTAGTTCTCTTCGGCTCCTTTTGGGCCTTTGGAGGCTCCGTTGTTCTCCGGAAGCCGACCCAACAGGCTTAATATATAAGTCATGTTTAGTCTTGTTTTTTTTTCTTCCAAAATTTTTTTATCATTACATTTTATTCTTTGTTACTAGCTCAATCGAATGCTGAACAGTCCCCGACAAACGATCAAGTCGAGGCGACAAATGTATTAAGCTCAAAAGCAACAATTCGTAATCTTCTCTCTGGACCAATACATTTGAATAGTTTAGTGAATACATTGGTTATTACTGTATTACGTCATAGTGAGAATGTGTTCTACTTAGATCGTTATGGACCTCGTTTAGCACAATTGATTACTCGTAAGCTGTTCCACTAAATCGTTATTTATCATTGTGTTCATTTTCATATCTATACTTACAATATGACTCTTCCATTCTGCAGTTTAATGAGAAAGTTTCCCACGCTAGTACTTCGTATGCATCGAGTTGGGCCTGAGCGAAGTTCCTCTAGGTCTCAATTTCTCTTAATGAGAGCATAGGGCTTTTATTTAATCAAAGTAGTGTCGTGAGATATTACGTTGTATTAATGTTCAAGCAGTTTTCATTAGTCGAAGTTAAAGCAGTGTGTTTCATCTTCATAAATTAATGTGACTCCAAATTCTAGTATACATGTACATATTTGCACTTGTTACATTGTTTACAATATCATCAGTATCTTTTAAACTCTTGAACTGCCAATCTATCGTAACGTCAATTAAGCTAGTAGCCAGGTATCTCATATTGACTTTGTTCATTTAGTAATATTTCGAAACTTTTTTTATTTTCAAAATATCTATTCATATTCTATTCTTATTTTTTCAACGGAAATCTGTCAGGATTGTTTAGGGAAGTATGTCTATGTGGAGTTTGTGTACATCTGTTTAATGTTTCCCATATTAGTTTGCCTATTGATTTTTATTTTTTGAATATTCGACTTTCATTTTCCCCAGCGAATGCTACATATTTTTCCACTGGCTTTTTACTAAGCTTCTCAATCTGTTCGTTTGCTTACTTTATAGTTGTCTAGTTTCAAAGGGTATAATAATAACGTTTACGACTAATAGCTCTAAACCTATCTTACACTATGGCCGTCGACTTTGCACTCTTTATGAAACTAGTTCTAACTAACTGAAAAATAGGGAGTTATCTGTCTGTTATAACTTGTGACCGCCAATTAGGGAGCAGTGACTTATCGATCGGATTAATGACGCGCAAACCCTTATGAGCAGCCTATAGTCCTGATTGGTCCTGTTTTCCGCCTAACCCAGCCAGTTAAGTCCAGAATGCCAATCTCAGGCTCTTCAATATGAATCATTATATTTCAAACGTACTGTGTTTATATACCAATCAAACAGACCACAGCGTACCAATAAAATATGAAACAACATTTGTACAAGAGTTAGTCAGATGTGGTTGTGAATGAGGGATGTTGTAATACTGGGTATAACTCAAAGAATGGTAAAACGTATAATAATAGTTTATGGGTCAAAATAAAGCTTATAATAAGAGGAATATGAATATGCATAGTTTAGTTAATTAATAATTATACAGTAGATATATACGTTTAGTATTGGTCTTTAAATGAATTCTAAAAGTTACCATTCATTATTCTTGTCGGGACATAACACTGTCGTTTAATGTTCAGTATACCTATTGTTCTAGGAGCTAATTCATAATTAAATTATTCGCATATTTCTGAATTCTTTAGATGAATACTAGATAATATTTTTCTTCACTAGTAAGTTTCTTATCCGACGGAAATTTTGTTGAGATATTCACTTGATAACTCGAATAATATTGACTTAATTTAAATATATTTTATGAAGTTACATCAGACAATTGAGTTTAGAAATTTCAAGGAGCCAATAATGGATCTACTTGCGTGCTTATTTATATCTTATCTGATTTAATCATTTGTGATTCTTCACATTAGTTCACTGTCTCAGCAATCATGGTCAGTTGTACAATCGGTAGTTATTATAATTAGGATTTCATAGGGTTTTTTTCTAGTTATTTGTGAGAGGAAATATAATAATGCCAAATTACAACTACGTACTAAAGCTTGTCACTCCAGCTTCAAGTAATCTATTAACCTTATTTGAGGAATTCATCTCTAGAAATCACACAGTATAATGATAGTCATAGGTAAATCAAAATACTAATATAAAACACTTTAAATTTTTGTTGGTAATATGTATTGCATCAACTGACAATTTTAACTGGAAACACTGGTATATACAATACACTTTAGGGAATGTATCGAACATATTGTTAACTTAATGTTTTTGAAGTCTGGTGTAAAATACCATGTGAACTCTTTATTTACTCATGTTTTTCATACCTTACTTCATCATCGTAATCAGCTAAAAACCTGACACATTTCTGCATCAGTTAAAATTACCATACCTCATTACTACAGAGAGGCACATCCCAGAGTAGTAAAAGTAATGCCAGTATCATCATTATTAATAATCAATGTTTTTAAAAATCTTTTTTTAGCTTCGCAGCAAATTGAAAGTATACAAGATATTCCACCTATTGATGTATTAGCTCAAATGACTTCATTTACACGAACAGTTGGTAGTTACTTACATTGGCTTCGTGATGGACCATCTCGTTCTCATGTAACTGGTATTTTGAATATACCATCAGACTCCCTACTTTCACCTGAATCTTGTTCGTGGTTAATTAAACAGTTACAAACAATGACTAGCGAATTTAATGATGCATTAGATACAATTCTAGGTCTTGAAGTTGCTGATGATCTTCTTGCAGCTCCAAATAATGTTTTCACATCACAAATTAATTATTCTGGGCGTCGACAACCAACTTCTCAACTTTCAGCTGGTCGATTTATACCACCTAGTATTTTGTTAATACTACGTTTATTGCGTACAAGCATACTAGGCTCCAATCACTCTTCAACATTTAATCGTTTATCAGATAGTTCTTATTCAGAGCAACAAATTATTCTATCTCGCACTCAAGTGCTTATTGAAATTTTTAGTATGAATGGGTTGAATACATTTATCACATTAATTCAAGTAAGTTCATGCTTTTCAAGTAATTTCTACTCCCCTACTTTTATTATTATTTTTTGTAAAATATAGGTAGCTGACTTAACAAGAACGAGAATTTTTGAACGTGAACGTTTGCAGATCTAGTGAACATAATTGATGTGATTATTAGATAATAATAGTTAGCTTGCTGAGATGATAATAATACGATAAAAGAAATAGATGACAATGACATATGAAAGCAAACGTTCCGAAATATTTTGATAACATTTTCATCTTTAGAAGTTTTTACTATTCAAGTGATTAGTTCAAGTTACAGTGTACCGAAAGATATATTGTGGATAAATAAGTATTATTTATTTCTGATATTTTTCAGTCTACCGAGTTTTTTGAAATTATGGCTTAATAAATGGTTTTAGTTAGCCTAATATCATATATATTGGCGTTCTCTTGTACCAATATTTATGTGTTCAAATAAATAATAAATAAATAAAATAAAAAAGCCTAATATCATAGTACAAACATTCAATCTCAATTCATTTGTATTGGTTGTTTAGATCTTCCCACTGACGTTGAGAACTAGAATTAATCAGTCTCTTATTGGCGTTTACAGTTAATCGTAATATCTTCTTTGCGTTTATCAACTGAAACATTTCTCTTGATTGACTTACTTACTAGGCATAGATTTATGTACTTGATTTTCTAGCCACATCCAAAGTACAAGGGTGAATGATAATGCTCGGTTATAAGTTTTTGTTCTAAATAGAAATATAGTAATTGGCTTTACTTATTAATTAGTTAAATACTAACGGGTAGGCTCACCGATAGCATAGTATATTGATAGTGTATCACGTAGTTTAATTTCTTCAATCGTGTGTTTGTGTGGTAGTTTACAAATTTTTCCAAAATTCATGAAACCAAGTATAGCTTGATCGTATACTCAAAAATTTCAGTATATAAAAATAATTAATACTATATATTTGAACTGTGAATCTGCCTTCTCATGGCGGGGGTGTTGTTTATGAAATTGATAGAACGAAAAGCGAATATCCGGCGCTTTAACCAGCTTGGCGGACACGGAGGGTCCACCTAGGGGAGTTGAAAAACCCTGATTCCAAACCAATGGTGCACATGGGCTCCAGGATCATGAGGCGTATGAACTTAATGTTGATCACCGACTACCATGGGACTTCATTTTATGATGTTGTTTCACTGACTTGTGGATCAGACCTTTAGGTCAAAGGCTCCGGCTGTAGTTCCCTGAGAAAACCACCTCTGGTCTGGGCACCCGGTCAGTATCCTAACTCACACACGAACCAAATGACTTGTGTGGCTCATATGCATTCGGTGCCCCTTTATACAAATATTTATGTGTTCAAATAAATAAATAAAATAAAATTCTTTATTTTTGCTCAAAATCTGATAAAAAATCATCGTTCGAAGTTGATATTATGACAATAGTTCTCTTTATGTATTATTTAAGAATTATTAATTGTTTGTCTAATTATTAACATTTATACTTTCTGTTACATATATTCCATTGTTAATTATTTACATAATATATTTGTTGTTGTTTTATTTAGAAATTATCAGATTTTTTCATAATTCAGCTTCAAGCTACATTATCTCAAGCAAATAATACAATTGATTTAATCGATATAAGTACTTGTAATTCGAATATCAGTATAATATTTTCCATGTTTGATTCTTTAACACAAATTGTTTCTGCTGTTTTGCGTACTATCATATCAATTCAAGGTGTTGATTTTCAAGATACTAGAATTTTAAATCCATTATTTCATGCATATGCTTGCACAATTTTTACTTATTGTCCACCTGGACCCAAAGCTGTTCAACTTGAAAGGGTAAATATACACATTTTTATTTGTTTTAAAAGTTTAGTACAGTGCTTCCAAACTATATATGTGTAATTTGTATGATAGGTTTCATGTAAATTATGGTTGGGTTTGTGTACTAGTCCATCATTCGCATTCTTTACATGAAAACTTATTTGTACTACCCAACTGCTCAGACGAAATTCAGATGTAGCGTAGTTTAGATATGCGCTCAAACCCTAGCCATTAAGTTATCGCTTTAGTGATTCATTGGAATTTATCATACACTAATGTTAAATATAATTTATCACCATGAGTGTATGCAAGTAAATAAAACATAATAAAAATGGAGTTTTATAACAAAACGGGGTTATAAAATCAGATACACTAATGCGTTATTATAACTCATATGCAATTCTACTGGAAGAAAGTAACTAAAGGATTACCAAAATTTCAATACAGAATTTATTTATTACTCATATTTTTAACATGGAATAATGTAGTATTGTCATCATTGCCTTACTAGTATGTTAAACAATAAACGTTCAATGTAAAAATTTTTATACGAAAAGGCAAAGTATCATGAGGAAATTCATCTAATCCGAAATCCGGTAGTGAAAGTAACCCAATTGTTTCCAGTGGATATGGCTTCTGAAGTTCTAACAAATAATTTATATTATTTCATTACTTACCTTGATAACATAAAGTCAAGTCATATTTATTTCTAAATGAGGTAGTCGTTTCTTAACAAATCTACATTAATGCAACATGAATTATGGATATTAATAATATCTTATTCGTTTACCCAATTAATGTACATTTCATTCTCTTTATGTGTTTAGATTCGTGATAGTATAATAATTGGTCTGTTGGCTTATACACATTCCGAGTTAAACAGAGTACTAAATGTTCAAGGTATAGTTTGATGATAACTACTATTATCATTTCCATCATTACTCCATGCTTATTTGCCTTTATTATACGAAATTACTGTATGAATATGGTTTTAAATGTACAAAGCATACGGTTAACTTATATGATTAATATTAAATTTTAAACCTCTGACGAGTTTGATAAGTTGCTTTGTTAACCTACTCGCATCTTATAGAATGCCTTGATTATTGATAACTTCATAGTAGATTTCTCCATAGTAGTAGTGTTTGTAATTGAAGTGTGGGTATCTGTCATTGTTGAAAATTTAATTAGGTAACTGTGTGACTAAACTTTGATAAATAGATGGTAATTTTTATTGATGCTCAAATCTGAATTTTTTTAAAATTATTTTGAATGTATATACTAGCTGTTTTTGCAACCTCAAGTGGTGTCCATTAAGGCTGTCCACTTTCTCCATTTTGTTTGACTGAATTATCGGGGATTGAGCTCCTTCCAGGAGGTCCACTTATCGACTTGGAATACGCAGATGATATAGTCCTGTTCGGTGAAGACGCTGATAAAATTCAGAGTCTTCTGGTAGCACTAGCAACAATGCCAGAATATTTGGAATGCGTTTCTCACCCTCTAAATGCAAGTCGTTCCTTCAGAACTGGTCTTTGTCAAAACCTGAACTAAGGATAGCGAGTGAAGTAGTCGAACGCGTCGACAACTCCACCTATCTTGGAAGTCTGACCAACCCTAATGGGATGGTGTCTGACGAAATCTCTACACGGATTGTAGAAGCTCGTTTGGCTTTCGCTAAATTACGTCACCTATGACGAAGGTGAGATATCCGTCTATCAATAAAAGGACGAGTACATTATGCGGCAGTTCATTTTGTGTTACTTTATGGCTGCGAAACATGGCCATTGAGAGTAGAAGATACTTGTAAGCTACTAGTATTCGACCACAGATGCCTTATAAATATTGCTGGCGTCTGCTGGAATCACCGGGTAAGTAATAGTGAGGTTGGACCCAGGGTATTAGGTAATGATGGTAAATCAGTTGATGAGGTTGTGAATCTTCATCGACTGAGATGGTTGGGCCACGTGTTGCGTATGCCTGAACACCGATTACCACGACGTGCAATGCTAACCGGTGTAGGGGATGGTTGGAAGAAAGTAAGGGCGGCCAAACCAAAACGTGGCATCAGTGCTTGGAGACACTAACTACTAGTCTGAGCCATGTTGGTAGATGCAGACTACTTGGTTGGGGTCCGCGTGACTATCGTAACCAATGGTTGGAGACTCTTGGTGACATGGCTCAGCATCGATCATAATGGCATCGGTGTATACAGTCTATGTCTTCCCTTAAACTAAGAGATTAAAATCACTTCATATCTTTCTACGAACTAATTCTTTCTTCCTGTACTATGTTTTTATATGCAATCTTTCTTTTATATATTAACACAACTGAATTGACTACTTTTATGAATCCGGTGTTCATCTTGTTGTGTTAATGAGGTATGGCATCTTGGACCGATGCATATATGTGCCTGGTCCTATGTTGTAACTGACTGGTTGACCCACCAGCACATTAATCGATTCAAATCAGTAATACTTCAGAGGAAATCTAAAGTATATGTTTACTATTTATGTTGATTCAACTAATGAAATTTGTTTAGCTACTGTAAACATCAAATGGTTTTCATCAGAGCTACCGACTGTCTCCATCTTTCAAATTTTATCATAGATATCCTCCTGGAAATAACATTTGCTTCATCTAAATTTTCAGGGACGAATCTCCTACAACGGGGTTTGCAGATGATATAATCCTATTTGATAAAGATACTAACAAAATACAGAATCCTTTACTCTGAGAAATAATGTTGACATCTTTGGGATGCACTTCTCTTCGTGTAAATGCGAAATGCTACTTCAGGATTAGCATCAACGCCTGAGATAATTATAAGGAGTAGATTAGTTCAGTGTCTTGGCTACTTCAGTTATTTTTGAAGTCTCATCAGCCTTGACGAAACCTCGGCCTGGGTTCAAAAGCTTAGTTAACCTTCATTATTTTGTCATTTGTAGAATAGGTATACTGCGCAACAGTCCTCTCTGTATTATTTCGTGGCTGTGGAACGTGGTGTATGAAGCAAAAGACGTAAGCAGGCTAGAGATTTTTGATCACAGGTGCCTTCTAAGCATTGGTCGCGTTTCGTGGAGTGTCCGAGTGAACAATCTTGATGTTAGGCATTGGGTAATAAGCAAAAGTGACCAAGTGGTTGATGAAGTTATCAATTTTCGTCGATTGAAATTATTAGGACCTGTGTTACGTTGAAATAATCATTGCTTATCTGGATATACGATGTTTACTGACGTAGAAGTGAGTTTAAAAGAAGCTTGGAGTGCCCAAACCAATACGTGATATCAGTCCATGAAGTCACTGACCGTTGTTCTGAGCTATGTTGATAGATATAGATTGCCTGGTTGGGGTTAAGCGCGATAAGTGTGACCGGTTGTTGCAGACGTCTGGAATCACAGTTCAGAATCGGTTACAATGACGCAGATGGCGCTTGAAGCGAACGGTATTGGGTTCGAGTCACTTATTGAGCATCATCTCTGAGATGCAGATACATCCAGCTGACAAGTCCCAAATAAAAACGCGCGTCCTGGATTCCACTGCTTCGCTTATAATGCTTATGAATTAAGGCAATACACACAGTATGCAAATATACCAGCAAGAGACTGATCAATTACAGTTCTAAACATCAATGGGAAGATTCAATTAAACACTACCATGTGAATTTAAAAAGGTTTATTTTGTGGATTTTTTTTAACACCATAAGAACTTGATTGTTTAACATAGTTACCCTTAATTGTCCTCGTTATTTCTTTCTTCTAGAGATTAATAAATCATTTTGGGTTTTAATGCTGAAAGAATTAGTTCATTTTACTATATCATCACCTTGCTTCTTTTTACCGGGCATACTGATATTCTTAGATTTATTACCTTTACCATCGCCGGTAGTTACTGTTCAAGGATCTTTCGATTTAAATGATGAATCTAAGGTGAGCATCAAAGTAATTACTCTTTTATCTCAATAAAAAGTGGCTAGTTATAATAGACAAAAAACTGCATAATTATGTGGTTGATTGTGATCCGTTTGTTTATGTGACATTGTGTCGCCAAGTAACAACTACTTACAAAGCTAGATAATTAGTACTGAAATTTTCCAGTAAATTGACCAGTCAGTCAGTGAGCCATAAAGTAAAACCTGTATATAAGTACATCGGTTCAAGTTGCCATACCCCATTAGCACAGAGAGATGAAGTTGTCAGACCAAATCCCAGAATAGTAGAGATAGTAACAGTATAAGTGGTAATTGACAAGATTAGGCATCGAATATACGACTCGAAAAGAAAATATAAATTAGTGAGACAGAAATACAACAAACGTTATCAGGAATTTGATGGAAGACAATTAATGGATGCATCTGCGTCGCTACAAACAATTTTGGACCACATCATTCACAGTCTCTAGTCGTTAGTCACAATAATCATGCGAACCCCAACCAGGTAATCTATTTATTTATTTATTTCAACACATAGATATTGGTACAAAGAGGCACCAAATACATATACGCCACACAAATCTCATTCGATATGTGTGAGGGCTGTGATACTGCTCGGGTGCCCAAACCGAAGCAGGTGGTTTTCTTAGGGGGCCACGCCCCGACCCTTTAACCCGATGGTCTGATCCACAAGACAGTGGAGCATCGTGAGGAGATGCAGTCCCATGGAAGCCGGTGACCAACAATTGGTTCATACGCCATCTGTTCCCTCAGGATACTGAAGCCCATTTGTACCATTGGTTTGGGATCCGGTTAAAGCGCCAGACATTCGCTTTTCGTCCTCTCATTTTCGTAAACAACACCCCCGCCACGAGAAGGCAGTGAGTAGGACTTCCCTGGCAGAGGCTATATACGCGTGGCCGTGTGAGAGCATTTCGAGAGGGAGAGCGGACTCTCCCCACTCTCGGCCGTACCAGGGCATTTGGGGCTTAATTTTCAGTAACTTCATGGACTGATGCCATGTTCTGGTTTGGTTTCCCCTATGCTTCTTCCAGCCCACTCTTGCACTAGAAAACATCACTCGTCAAGGTAGGCGGTTGTTGGGCATACGTAACACATGTCCCAACCACCTCAGTTGATGAAGATTTACTTCCTCATCAATCGATTCCCCATCTTTACCGAGTAATCATTAAATAGATATATTAATATTACTCTTTTGTGCGATCGTGCCAATGTAAAGTAAATAAGTGGATAAATAATAAAAGAAATCTATTATCTCATTGCAGAGGAATTACGTAAATTTTTCTCAATAATTTCATTCAATCAAGTTGTGTAATTGTATATATGGTTATTTAATAAATAAAAATATCCTATTAAAGAACAAAAAATGTATTATCTAACAAAGTGTCCGGAAATTTCAATTGACAAAAGGAATTGAATAATCAAGAAATTAAACATAATTAATATGATGAGACCTAATTTGTTCAATGAATAAATATTCTCTATTTTTATTCCGGTTAATAATAATATAAAGCAATCAGTCCCTTTTATAAATTTCGATAGAACAATGGGAAGACGGAGTTGATCTGAAAAATGTGATGTATTTGCGCTGTACATTTCGAACAATCTGGTCACACATATATTTGTCAGGGCATTTTATTTGAAAATTAATAAAGGTTAATTAAGTGAATAATCAAGTAAAAAAAAAACTAAATTCTTATTGCATCGTCTGTTTCAACTGGATGAACATATCTACAGTAATATTAAGGTCGAAAATGTGGATTGACTGTTTGACCTAAGGTTAGTTTCAATTACGAACTGACATCAGCTAAAGATTCATGGAAGTGGAAGAGGCGTGCAATTAATTTATCACCAGATTCTTTCCTAGTTTGTAGCGTAATGGTCGATCAAGTTTGTAATGAAGTAATAAATCATTGATATAAATGCGTATCAGGCTATATCATATATTGACTGAAGTATAAAATGTAGACCATTAACTCATAACTCACTTATTCAATGTTATAGTGCTCACCATGAATCTTGGACTCGATCCTATGTGTAGTTCTTCCCGATGAAAAGTTATTTAATAACAAAATGGGTGTTTAGGGCTATTTGGTTTCCAACGATTCCTTACTTTTGTCCAGTATTAGTCGTCTGTTGTTAAATACAGATCATCTGGTTGGGGTCCACGTGACACTCACGATCGGTGTTTGCAGACGTTAAATGATATCTCTCGGATGCGATCACAGTTGTGTAAAGGCATCCGTTCGTTTTCTTGCTTTTCGATCTCGGGTCCCGTTCTGTCTTTTTAAAACATATTTTCAATGGTTAGTATTTTTCATTCTCATCGCCAGTAGATTGTGTTCAGCTCGTTTGTCATTCATTTAGTCAGTTTCATCGCGTCTTGTTAATTTGGTATAGCAACCTGGGTTAATACATATTTGTAACAAGCTCTAATTTCATTTTTATTGATTAACTAATCAGTTTTTGTCGATTTATGATCACAACTAACTTAAAGCATTTGTGCTGCTAAGCAGCACTTATGTTATAACTCCAGATACATGTATATGGGAATCAATATCCGAATTCATTGATCATATTATTGTTTTCTTGTTTATTTTATATTTTTTTCAGTAGATTCTTGTGGGTTATTATACAAATTCACTTTTTTAAATGACTTATTGTGAATAGTATCTAAAGTAGTTTTTAATTTACATTAAAGAGTTGTTTCTTCTTTTTCTGTCTCTTTCCCCACTCTTTATTTTCTCTTCATTCGTTTAGATAAATAGTTCTCGAGATATATGGGCTGCACATCTTCTGGCTTTATCTTCCGAATTAATTGGAATGATACAGTTATTAAGTGCAACTATTTCATCACCCAACAATCTTCTATTCTGTAATCTATTCAAATTTGTTGAACGTTTAGCTGATATTTGTCGTTTACCGTTCGCTAGTTTATTGGCTAATGCATGTTTAGATAGTATCGGTGATGTAAGTATTTTCTTGGTGTTATTATTATTATTTTTATTTCTTAAATTTATGTTTAATCTATTTTTAATGTTGAGTTTTTTTTGATATTCTCTTATGTGCTTTTCTAATCATTTGATTAGGTTATAGATTGTGTTATACTGTTGTATAAGATTAAGCGTTAGTCCAATATCTTGCTGGTAAAAGTTTTGTATAGAAATAAACAAATGGGAATTAAAAAAGTGACTTAATTTTTCGGGCGAAATTCAAAAATGATCGACTTCTGCCTTAATGTAGTTCTAAGAACGGCTAAAAATTCTATAACTATATAATAATATTTTATCACACTTTTTCTGGGTTAAATTTCTTATTATTAATATTATGATATCCAGTGGATAGAGTGATGGATTGTGATGTTTGCTGAAGTTGTGTATTTTCAACTACTGAGTTAGCGTTTCCCATTTCACTCTCTCTATCTACTTTGATTTGGAATGCAGTTGAATTTATACTACATCTCCAGTTATCACTTTGAGATTCTACAGACTAGACTACAGCTATCAAAACGTAAATACATATAAATTTCGTTTTCAACGAGTGTATTGATCAACTCCAATACCAGTTACTGTTGGTTATATAACTAACTACACTATCTACTCGTTGAATTATTCTCGTTTCAGAAAGAAACTAACAAATGATTACATTGTTCAGGATAACATTGGTCAATTGGTTGGTGGGAATCATTTCATGATCCAAGTATCATTTTGATGTCATTTCACTCGCTGAGCTGAATGTTTTGATTTTGACTACCCTGCCAGTGGCTATTGAGATATTAAGGAGCACGATTAAACCTTACAGCTCAGAAAACGGAAATTCACCAAAATCATCCACCCGTGATATAAATATTTTCGACTATCTCAAAAAAACACGAATTGGTTTGCCAACTAAAGATTACCTTAATCTATTGAATCCATCTGATGGTCACAGTATATGCTACTTTAATTATTTCACCTTCTTCCTAAGATTGACTCACTTTTGTCCATTATCATTTACTTTTTCTGAAAAAGAATTACATCCATTCACCTTGCAATATTTATCTATCTATTTATCTTTAAGATTAGAAACCAAATATTAAATGAAACTGAAAAACAAGAAAAACAATCAACGGAAAGTACATTAAATGATGGAGATAATATCGAGAATTTATGGTATGATCTTTTGTTTTCCCTTGGGTTTTAGTCGACACTTAAGACTGTTACTTATAACTTAGCATTTTCATGACATGAACTACTCTTAGCATATATATATATATATATATATATATATATATATATATATATATATTCTGTAATGCACTATGTCGTTATTCTCTTATTTAGTCCCTCGAATTTTTTTCTAAACTTCAGGTTGATGACCAATTGGGTTAGATTCACTCTTTTTAAACTGTAATCAAAGTAGTAGAATAATGATTTAGAACTACCGGTTGATCTTCAACCTCAATTACAAGACATCTCGAGGTCAAGCAAAATTCACAAGGTCTTTTACGACAGTTTGTTCCTGACCTGTGTTGTCAAAGTTTAACTTAATTCCGTTAGTTATTTCCGGGTTATTTTCTTTATTTCATCTCAATCTTCCATTTTATTGTGCTGATGTGAAGCCTGTGAAAACTTTTAATCGTTACTTACTTTTCAATTCTAGATGACATCTAATCTTTCACGATTATGTATTACTCTAAGTTGCTACGCTTCGTTCCATTATAACAAGAGATGCAATCAGCTATTCGAGGAGCTTAAGAAAGTGAATTAATCATATAAATTACAATGGAAAGCTAAATATTAGAAACGTAGCTTAGAAGGAATGAAATAAAAGTAATAATATGCAATGTGAAATGGAATTGAACTAATTATATCATGAAAGAGTTACTATGAATGCAACTGTACCACCACTATGGTGAATTTTGATCTGTGTCACTTAATGTCTTTAATGTGTCAACTTGGAATTTTGCACCAATAAACACAATTTAAATTAAAAGTTGATTGATTCATAGGTTGCCACTATATCTTTGTTTCATTGTCCTTATCTTTAAGCCTACATCTAAGCCATTTGTACGAGGTCCTATGTTTCTGTTTCCCTGATATTCGTCATTATTTTACTATATTAACTAATTAAACTGTTTGTTTTCGGTATTCAGTTCAAAATCAGTTGAGAGTTTATCTTCATCATCTTCAATGAATAAAAATAATGATTCAGCTGGCGAATTAAATGCTCCTAGTACAAAATTATTATTAAATCCACAACCTATACTTGATCCACGATTAACATCACAACAGGATTTAGGAATTAGTTCTTGGCAAGCTAATTCTATGACCGATTCATCTGTTACAATAAACTCACAATTCAATAATAATACAAAGAACATGACTGCTACTACTAACAATAATTATAGCAGTAATAATGCAAATTTAGTAAAATTTTCAATCAAACAAATCGAATCTACTGAATTGAATGCTGCATTATCTATGCTATTCATTCTGCTTAAAATACCATTTTATCGATATGCCGTATTAGATGCATTACGTCATCAATCGTAAGTTGTTTCTGTTGTTTTGTTATTTCTCATAACTGGGCTTTAATTGTTGTGTTATTTTTATCGTCATCATTAGTACTAACGTTTGTTGTTAAAAAATACTGTGGTTATCCTGCAGTTTTTATTCGTAATATTTTACTAGCAAAGTAATTCAGTAGTATATAATACATTTACAAATTTAAAATGAGCAGTTCTTTACGACCTTTTTCTCCTCATTGAACTGATATTCTAAGTAGTTAAATATCTTTCAATAAATTACTTTTCGTTACTGTGTGATCTGTTGACATTTTCTGACAATACTGTACTTAAATTTGGAAATGGCCTACATTTTAAAGTAAAATAGTACAAAATAATCAACTTACATTTTATACATTGTTTTCAAGCAATATGAAATCAATATACGTATACTCATTTATAAACCCATTCAGTTTTTTGTTGTTGCTTCAATTTGGGCGCCTGGCAGTATCCCATCCTTCACACAAATCATTTGATTTATGTAGCGCATATATATTTGCGGTAATTTGCAAAATATCCAGTCAAACAGTAAATCTAAATAATTAGATAATTCTTCATCAAAAAAGAATTACCATTTTTAATTTTCTTTAACTAAAACACTTTTCGTTTCGATGGTTGAGCGAGGAAAATAATGATTGGTTGTTTACTTATTCAAACTAGTAGATAATCTGACAGGTATTCTATGAGTTATATATTTTCCTACCCTTATCATTATTGTGATTGTTGTCGGCTTTTGGTTTGGAAATATACATACGTTCCAGTCAGGCTAGTCACGTGTTCTTAATCGGAGTTATGTTGAAGTTCTGTAGAATAGACACTGGAACGATATCTAGTATAGATATTCGTCTAAAGCAAATTAACGTCTCATTCGTGTAAGGGAAAATTGAGCGTTATAACAATTTTTGTGCAGCTTTCCTACATTATCAAAATCGATACATGTAGTTTTGTAATTTAAGATAAGACGATATCAGAGTGCTTTTAATCCTAATAAAATGCTATGTGTCTGTGTATGTGCGCCCACGTTAGTTTGTTTTGGTTCGAATTTTAGTTTTGTTTTTGTGTATCGGGATAAATGGTACTAAGCTATGGCGAAATTAGCACCCAAATGGCCGGGTATGCCGAGGATAAGTAGAGTCAACTCTCCCTATCGAAATACTCTCAAATAGCCAGGCTCATGCATTCACTGCCAGGGTGGTTCTACTCACTGCCTTTTCGCGACGGTGATGTTGTTTACGAAGTTGATAGAGCAAAAAGCGAATGTTCTTCGATTTAACCGAGTTGGTGGACTCGGAGGACGCACCTAGGCGAGTTGGAAAACCCTGATTCGAAACCAATTCTAAACCAATCCTGAGGGGACAAATTGTGTATGAACCAATTGTTGGTCACTGGCTACCATGAAACTTCATCTCCTGATATTGCTCCACTGCCTTGTAGATGAGACCTCTAGATCAAAGGCTCCGGGTGTGGCCCCCTAAGAAAACCAACTGCTTCGGTTTGGGCACCCGGATAGTAGTACCCCAGCCCTTACACAGATCAAACGATTTATGTAGTGCATATCTATTTGGTGCTTCCTTGTACCAATGTTTATGTGCTTAAATAAAATAATGGAATTAGAACGTATGACTGCATCAGAATTCTTGTTTATCATTTTCAATATTGGAATTAGGACTTTAGGTGAATTTTTGGTAAGATTTTTATTTATGTTTCGCTCTGAGAACATTTTTGCTACACAATTACAATACCCATCACTTCATTTTAGATACTAAGCTTTGGATTTCCTTTTTTATTGCCTAGTGGGATCTACTGTTGTTATTTTGTTTAAAAATATCGTTTGGTGAAATTATATTTAGCAATAATTCTCACAGTAATGTTAGACATTCCCGTTGTTTTAGGGTTACTGTATGTTTGTTATATTTTTTCCAACTTCATTAGGGTTAATCATCAATCTGAGAATTCCGAGAATGCTGCCTCCAGTCCAGAACCTTCATCATCTGTAAATCTTCGTCGGCAGAATTTTCTAAATGTTGTCGACTCAGTTTTATCGGACTATTCTGATAAGAATTCATGCATCTCTGTTCAAATTAAACTTCTTGTACGTTTAATTCATTACATATTTTGAATTAATAATATTTTGATTAATTTGATCATGTACTTGTTCGATCCTGGAACTATTAGTTAAATGATGATGAATTACATTTCAATTAGTTGATTTTCACTTTCTTATGCAAGCATTTAATTGGACAGTTATCATACAAAATAGTGATTTTCACCTGTGATATAAACGAATGACTACATATCGTCTTAAGTTGTTCATTGTGATGTTTCGTGAAACTCAGGGAATATTACACGATGTCATAGCAAATATAATGCTCATGTAATTAATCTAAACGAATGACCTTTCCAAGTTTCTAAATCGGCATAAAAAAACACTTTTAAAATATCCATTGTATTCTAGTTGATCAGTTAGGAATCTCACGCTTATACTGCATTTTAGACGACCATTTTTAATGTAGTATATTAATATTTGTCAGTTATTCATGAGGGCGGGTGTGGTACTAAAGTACACATCAGTTCCTCTCATGTTTTGGATTGGAATTGGGTAATGTAATTTCGAATCGCAAGCGTTTGAGAGATCCTTGTGATACGGGACGTGATCTATGCGTACTGGACAATACGAACGACTAATACACAACACTTTAACAGTAATCCCTCGCACTATGGATAAGGGTGATAGAAAGTGTATTTGTCAGGAACCGAGATGTAGAATTAAATTACATTTAAGTCAATTTAGTTATGTATGGCTTATTAATTAACTACTAATTACAAAAATTATCCAACTGAGCAATCGTCGCTTGAACTTTAGGCCACAGTGCACTAATTAACGCAATCAAGATGGATCGGAAATAATATAAACTAACTCTACACTAAATAAGTCGTGTCAATTAAAAACACACTGCAAGTCATTGAATAAACTTCAACTGAAATCACTGTGTGAGTTTTAAAACTAATTTTTACTTAAATTTAGTACTTGGTTATTCAGTGAATAGTTTAGTTATGAAGATTTCATTATCATTCTAGACAACATCATCAGCATACACGTTATTGTAATGTAACAATTTTATTCTCACATTACTTCCATTATTTAGTTTGTATTTTAAACATTAGTATAATGTTTGTTTTTACTTCCGTTGTATAATATTGACTCAATAATTTATTTCCTATGAGGTTTGTTATTTTTTTACACCAATATTCATATGATAGTTTACATAGTAAGTTTAATGAGTAATTCTAAATTTAACGCTGAATAATTGGTCACTGTTTACACAGAAGTTGTATACTTGTTCTTGGTCTCGAACTCAGTGTTGATATCCCCTGTATTATATTCTTAACGGTATACTTCAAGAGATTATGTTGGTTGTTTAAAAAGAATCTATTTACGTAACATGTGTTTCTCTATGCTTATCAATAAGTAACTCTCGTTTATGTTGCTTGTAGATCATTATAACCGGGAAATAACGACACACTGCTTTTAAATGTTTAAGGTTGAATTTCATCGATTGAATTTTAGGTATCACTCAACTGATAAACTCTTATACGCCTGTTGATGTTATCCATTTATCGTTGATTCATATGCGAAATTCACTTTTGTTTGTGATAGATTGTAAAATGTTTCTTATAAAAATCTCTTCAACGAATATTTCTTGATATCATCAATTTTTATTAATTATTTTAGCAATGCCTTAGTCTTCTTGTTGATGTGAAGTTATCAACAACTAATACAAAGTACACTAATAACACTGATGTCATATGTTCAGATGAAGATTCTACTAGTGATGAAGATGAAGCACAATTTCTGGCAGATAATTTACCAGATTTAAATTTACTCAAAGAATTAGTCCTTATACTTATCAAGCATATTAATCATCCTGATAGAGATATGACTACTTTACCATCTGCACTAGATCCCTTGATCATAATCACTGAACATGATCCAGGTTTTGTTATAGTTAAAGAGTAAGATAATTTTAATTTAAAATAAAAATAAATTCTCTCATTATATTTTTATAAATGATAATTATTTTTCGCTTTTTTGTTTTGTTTAGTATTAAATATTAAGCTGCATTATTCACCACCGGTGTTGAGTATTTTCAAAAACATACATTCTTCATACCTATTTCAATGCCTACTTTTATCATGTCCAATATTTTGTGAGCTAAAAATGTAAACTATACTTACAGTTTTTTTGGTGATCATTTTCTCAGAAAATAGCTTACATATTATTTATTGTTTGACTAGTACATTGTACCGATCTATCTGACTCCATAAATGAAATAGGGATCCTGATTAACTTCATGTATTTACTAACCGTTATATAACGAATACGATAACAGAAATGATATAAAACATAAGTAGTGTTGAGAATTCATGTATTTCAAACATTTTTATGAGGAAACGAACCATGCAATCTAAATAGATAGAAAGACTAGATGTGACCCAGTTTATGTGGTCGGATAAACAATAGTTAAACCAATCCAATTCTCATGTAAACATAGATATGTGGTAAACATTTATGAAATAATCTAAGAGTAAATGCTAATAATTAACTATACAGAAAGTAATTTGAATATGTTTAATACTATTTAATAAGGATATAGACAAAGATGTACAAGTCAATGAATGACATTCGGATAATTTATCTGATTTTTCTCGTTTAAAATCTGTTCAAGAAGAATAACTTTGTTTAGCAGTATAGTATAAGTACCACTACAAGAACCACTCAGTTATTGTGTGCACTTAGCGATCGCAAAACTCTGTTACATGAACATTGATTTGTTAATATATCTAGGTTTCGTTTAAAACAATCAATGGAATATAATTTTTTCTGCATATACAGATGATTGTATATCTGATTTCATAACTCAATCTCTATTTCCTATCATCATGTATCATTCAGTATATACTTAAGAAATTCATGTTTCTTATGCTATGTAACTTATCCTAGAATTTCACAGTTTATATTATCCAAGTATATAATGAAATTTAGCAACCGATTAAGCTTTTTAACATAGGAATAATGATGCATATTAATCAGTTGGCTAAAGTAAGTTAGATTGGGTGGTATCAGCTCAAACCATTAAACTCCAGTTTGGAATTTTACTATACCAATTATCACCATACTTTCCTCTCTCACAGACAAAAGTGCAACTCAAAACGGATAATATGATGGTCACCCACTTATTGAATTGCATGTTGAAACAGTTAAACAAGGAAGTAGCATTTTATCCAATCGTTGGTTAATGCAGAAATTATTTGTATACGACAGTCTAATTCTATTTACATTATAATTATATTATGTTTTTTATTTATTATATAATAATTCATTTTTATAGATCACTGGATAGCTCTTCTGCATTTAATAATGGTCAGCATTTATTTGCTAATTTGGTTCAACGTGTTAACGATAGTTTTAGCGCAGATAATCCAGATTGTCAGGCTACATTGACTGGTTGTTTACGATTGATTCAATCATTATTAACAGATCATAGTACACTACCGCTAACTTTTATGTCCAAATGCATAAATTGGAATGAATGTGAAGAATTCGATAGTGCATCACTAGCTGTTCAAATAGATGACAAAAATGTAAATAGAACAAGTAATTTATTCACCAGACAACTTCATATTTCTGGTGAACGTGTTCGTGAGTTATTGGGTTGGTCTGGAAGTGGAGATCAGGGCAAGCCTGTTCGAGATCTTCATGCATTATTAGAGGTTAGTATCATACCTGCTTATTATGAAGCTTTCAACCTTTGCTCTAATTTTTTATAACTTTTCTACACAACTCATCAGTACATCAACAAACTACTTCATCTCTCATTGACTTCGATGGTTCTCTTTTATTTGTTTATTGCACTATCAGCCTCTTCTACCTACACGATTTTTCATGTGTCTTTTGAATTACTTACTATGTAGTGATTTTAGTTTTTTTTAGTACTTTCGGTACCAATTTTCACATTTTCAGCATTTCCCCTGCTGACTTCTCGTTTCTGTTTAGGTATTTTCATGTATTGGTTTAACCTTTAATAATATAATAGTTCGATAAATCGAGATTGATGAAGTCCTCACAACTATTTTATTCTAATTCATGACTTCAACACTGCTCATTCACAACCTCTTCAGGATCCTAACATTCTGGAATTTTGAGATTCACTAATGGACTGTCTTTGAGAACGACTCCTGACGTTCTAGTGGGGAATCGTGACCAGCTAAGTCCTACCACGTCGGAATCGAAACATGTATTATTAATGGTGCTGACCGATTGTCACACCATAACAGGAATTGAATAAAATGTTACGCTGATAAAGGTGACTAAAACTACGCAACTGGATTCTAGTGAAATTTGTTTAACTATTTATTACAGATAACATACATTTTAACTAAACTGATTGAGCAATTGATTTTAACATTTCTAGTAGTAGGGCACTGGCGTTAATCCTGAGTTTTCTACCATAGTTTAAAACGGTTAGGTTGTGGTAGTAAAAATATAATTAAAACTCATGCAAATGAATCATAGTCCAATATTTGAAACCGTTTACAATGGTGATGGGTGATATAATTATTACGAGCCAGCAGTTGGTCAACGTTGAAAGAAAGACATATCGAGTTATACTAAATATAACAGATTATCTTATTTTGTAAAGTTCATCCTACTTTTGCTACCGCTTACTAACTGTTTTTTATTGTGTGTGTGTAAATAAACTTTTGTTCTCGTCTATATTTAGTTCTCTATCGAACGATCGGATTTGAATGACTGTGTATGATAGACCAAGTATCGTATGCAACTCACTTTCTTCCCTATAGCACATAAAGTATCATTTATATCCATTTCGTTATTTTTCTTTGAAATGTTTTTTCTCAGATGTTAGCTGACGATGAACCATCACTGGAATATTTAAGAAGTGGCATGAAAAATCTTTTATCCTTATTATCTCATGAATATGATATACCTGAATTAAAAGAGCTAACCACTTCTACTACAAGGTTGGTAACGACAACTAGAATAAATGAAGATTCTTTGTCGGATGAATTAAATATGTACAAATTAAGATCAAAATTACCAAATGCTCGATCATTGAGTGTATTAATACGAGATTATCAGAAAAAATTTGTCAAACTAAATTTAAATGGTAAAAATTTGAAAAAGACACAGAATCAATCAATTAAATGTTTGTTTGAAAATTTTTCAGCTGCATATGATAAGATTTCGGAAGATGTCGATATGGAATTACCTTTAAGTGGGTCGAAATATATTGGTCATCAGGTAAATGATAGTTTTTTTTCTCTTATTATTATGGTATGTTATCTTTATAGTTATTAGTCACTTTGGATGTTTAAATGAAATAGTAACTATTATATATCATGTTACTTACAATTTGTTTATCTAATTTTCAGTTATTTGTACATATTCAATGTTGGTAAATTGTTTATATACTCTACGGATAAAATTCTGTTAAAATAATAGATTAGTTTAATGTTTTCGTTAAAAGCTTGACATAGCTTGAAATTAATTTTTATCGTGAATCGAAATTATCTTTAAAACTATTGGGTGAGAAGCGCGAGACATTATACGATTGTTTCTTCTTAATTTGATTCACTCAAGGTTGAACACAAGACCTTCATCTGTTATAAGATAGATTTTCAAATTGATTTTACATTCACTGCTTTAGAAACTTCGGTTTATGAAGTTTTCTTTTCATGAACGTTTATATTAATAAATCTAGACCATTGAATCTACCAATAATTACTCTACACAATGAAATGCGACAGCGTTATGTAAACTAGTATTTGTTTTTTTAACTAGGGTCATGACAAAGAAAGCAACCTCACAAACTGTTATTGTACTCATAAATCTGATTTAATGACGCGTATCGAAGACGCTTCTGGAATGTAAAGGTGATATTTACATGAATGTTTCACTAAATTAGGTTGAGTTCAATACTGCCTGATCATGGCCAAAAGTATGATATAGAATAAAATGATTGCGTACTTCTCTGGTTAACTGAAAAATTTTCATGAATGTCACTCCGCTTAATTTGCCTCGTAAAAATCTCGAGTTCGGTATCTCGTTTTATGGACAATCGTTAGTATTGTAAACATGTCCGTTCAAAGAAAATCTACATGGAACGGACAAACGATGAATTTTCGTAGTTCTGTCCGTGTGAACTGTAAAGTCCATCCTCCTTCACATAATACATTGTAAAAACACCATCATAGGAAGACAATTCAGAGGTATAAAATCTTTCATTCCATAATATATAGTTGATTACATTCATGCAATATCGGACTCATCATTTAAGATCATTTATAAAATTAAACTTAACTTCCTGAAAGGCGTACTCACTCATCTTTGTATTAGCGATACGCACCATTAAGCCGGATCTATGAGTAAAAAGGTAGTTCGTCTGACAGTTTTCCATTCAATAACCATAGCTTTTATTTTAGATTTCTGTGTATTCCATTACTTTCTGCTTCTATCATATCTTGTTTAGCTATCTGTTGATACCTTCATTTTCTCTTTTACAATATAAGAGGGACTTACTTTATGTACTTTTAAATTTAGTTGAAAATTTTCACGTATCTGAAAATCAATAATTCCATTAATTTCTCGTCTTTATCCACTTTATTGCAGATTCCAGTATCTATTTATCAAAATGATTTAGTACATTGTGATCTAAATGATATTGCAACAAATGGTTGTAATAAAATGCGAATTCGTGATGAATTAGCCAAATATGGACATTTAAATGATGCAAGCGAAGTAGCCATTAGACATCAGAAACGTAGACGTGGTCAGTCTTCAATTATACAAACTGGGACAACTTTTAAAAAATTCGGTAAGTGATATTTTCAAAATCTGAAAACATGTTTTCGTTTAAGCTGTTGTGTAAGATGAATTATAGTATGTTACAATCTTGAAAATAATATTCTCATTTCTACTTATTTGCAATTTGCTTTTCTATTATAGTCTTATGACGTATTTGCGTTCTCTTATAAAATAGAACTTATAGCAATGCTGCGAAAAATCAAGCTGAACTACAACAGTGATCGGTATACTTTCGTTCCTATTCGTATTTGAGGAAATGAAGGACGATTATATTAAGATGTATACATCAAACATGAAATAGGAATTTATCACAATACATATTCCATGCTAAATATTCTTTACTGTAACCAAAAATTATGGTATTAAATAAAATGACTTATCATTGTTCTTTATTATTTCAGTTGCACCAATGCGTGGTCGAGGTTTTATCTTGCGCAATGCAACTCCATCAAATCCTTCATCGAGTAATACCGCTCCTGTCGCTTTGGGATCTACTATTGGACAGCTCAATTCTAATCTAACAGGCATTCGTGGTGATCCGTTCCGTTCCAGACCACTGAATACAAGTCGTCCTCCTAGTCTACACGTTGATGATTTTACGAAATTAGAAAAGGAAGAAGGAATTATTGAAGTATGTGTTTCTTTTTGGAATATAGTCTCTGTTTATAATTGTTTTTACTTGTTAGTCAAAGTTAGTTTCGTTCATCTATTTCTTATCGTTTTTAAGCTGAACTCTTGAAGTTAACTTTAAAATGTAGCATGCGTTGTTTAGATTTTTTTATATCTTACCTATAACGCACTTGAAGTTTAAGTAGTTCTGGTGATTACATTATATCCTAGAGTATTCGATTGATAAAATAGCTATTTTAGAGATGTATTTTAAGTGTTTTGTAACAGTTTAAATCCTGTATTGATGGAGTAATTCAATTCTTTTAAAACTTTACAACATAAAATGAAATAGAGATACAATGAAATGGGTAAAGTCTAATTCTTAAAATTTATTCGAGAAAGCATTTTACCTCCGTATTCAATTTACACAAGAAGATAATTTGAAAACTTGTATATTTCGCATGTAAAAACTTTTATATCATCACAATATTCTAACAATCTTAAACTTATGTTAAAGTCTCAGGCATATTAAATATATTTTAGATCAGATCTTTTTCATACTTAATTTTGTATATCTAGATACTGGTTTTTGTATGTTTACTGTCGAATTTTTCTTTAAGATACAATCCCAGTACTAAAAAAGCAACATGAATAAAAAGTAAAGCAATTTGTTTACTACTTGTTTGAATTTTATAGTTTTATCATGTATTAGATTTTTTGTTGTTCGTATGGTTGAAAAACCAGTTCGTAATAATAATAATAATAATAATAATAATAATAATAATAATAATAATAATAATAATAATTTTGGATTAGAAAACATTGGATAGTTGACATTTCGAATTATACATTGTCAATCAGTCAGCTACAACGTAGGACCAGGCACATATATGCATCGGTCCAAGTTGCCATACCACATTACCAAAACAATATAGACACCGGATTCATAAAAGTAGTCAGTTCATTTGTGGTAATATATAAAAGAAAGATTGCAATAATGCTATAGTACAGGAAGAAAGAGTTAGTTTGTAGAAAGAAAGATATGAAGCGATTTTAATCTCTTAGTTTAATGGAAGACATAGACTGTATACACTGACGCCATTGTGATCGATTCTGAGCCATCATCAAGAGTCTCTAACCATTGGTTACGATAGTCACGCGGACCCCAACCAAGTAGTCTACACCTACCAACATGACTCAGACTAGAAGTTAGTGACTGTTTTGTTGTTCGTTGTTTACTTCACAACTTTTTCTTATCGTATACGAATGCTATTTTAATTTATCATCTACAATCATCTATGTCTAAAAATTTTATTTTAGGAAACAACTCATGCCAGACAATATCGTGATAATAGAACAATGAGAGGTAAGGGTATTTTTGTGCTAAGACATTAATTCAAGGTATTTACATTAAATTCGTATTTCTTTTTGCGGCTGTTTCTATTTTCATAAAGATTCCAAAATAATGCAAATCGGGTTCATATAATTTTTTATCACATAATTAGATCATCTTTTTTTCCAGGTTTTATTAATATGTGTATGTAGCACTTTCTTTCTTTATTTCATTCATATCACGATACATTGTATAGCTCAGTTTTTTTGTTTTATTCAGGTCGTGGAGCGAGATTTGGTACTGTACGTGGTGCTTTCTCCAATCATAATGCTGTAAATCTATCCAGTATGCCGAATGTACCATTTGGTATGAAAATTCCGACTATTAATCCATTGCATACTACATCACTTTTACCCAATTGGTCTGTTGGTGCTAGATCCATGTAAGTGGGTTTTTTAATGAATAATTTGAACTTTTGCATACGATTTTATTGTTCTTTTTAGCATAGAAGTAGTGCAGCTTCATTAATTTGACTTCAATGTACTTTTCGTAGTTATCCTCTATTGCCCAATGCATTCCTATGTAGTATTTTCGGTTGGTTAGTGAATTTTAATTCACTATTTGAACGATCGTCATCTAGCACCATTAGTGATATCTTTCTCACTCTCTAACCTTGTTAACCTCAACTAGTCACGACTTCTCATCATCATTTTCGATTTTCATTTCCAGTTTATTGAAACTGTTTCATCTTCTACCATATAGTTTATTTCTGAATAGTTGAGTGTGTAAAATAGAAATTTCACTTCAGCCATTACATTAACGTTTTTCTTGGTGTATTTTAGTCCATTACTACCATTCAATTTGGAGCCACGAGCTAACCAAGAACGAAGAGAACGACATGGGAGATAAAGAGGAATTCTAATCCTTCATCAGTTCAAAAAAACACCATTTTATTTTTAAATGTATATAACACTATTTACTTACATAGTAAATGTTGCTTTTCAAATGTATCTTTGTTCATTACTTCTTCATATGCACAGAAATTACCATTTGCTTTTGTAAAGTTTTGAAGAAATGTAATTCAAAAATGACCTTTTATAATATTTGTTATTCTTAAAGCTTTTTAAAAAATCTTTTCTACCACCGATCTCGTATTCTACGTCTATGATTATCAAACGTACCTTACCTATTGCCATAGTTCAATCTCGTAGTTATCGAAAATAATTCGGAACTTCTAAACTCACTGTTTGAATAAAAAGATGATGTAGCTTGATTGCTCCTTTACGTTGTAGCCTGTATATAATGCTTAGTAATACAGAGTATTTTAATTAAAAGTTAAAGACACAAACGAATGATTCAAAGAAATCGTCAGTTACTACTTGTACGTGTAAACAATATAGGTTTCTTAGTGTGTATGTGCTTCTGCCAAGAAAGAGAAATGACTACTACTGCCTTCCTACTGGTCCCGCCAAATACTCTTAAAATATCGAAAGCTCTCGTGCTATGAATTAGAGAAACATATCCATCGAGGGTAGGGATCAAGGATATTCTTGGAAAAAAGCTTAGAGGGGCCCTGAAAACATCAGGAAACATTCTGTCAAATCAAAATGGAATGGGAGTTTCTCAGAAACATCTAGGAAGTAATTAACTGCGTGTCAAATTTCTGAATAGATGACCATTTACCATGCTACTATGTTTAGTAAGGTTCCAGAAGCCCGAGGCCATCGGAAATGCACGAGATAATCTAGATCTTCTGTACATAGATGAATCTTGGTGTAAGACGTAATCTCCACAATTCGAGTCTTTTCCCTCGTGTTCATATCGGCGTTTCACTTTGGCCTGGGGTCATGGAAGAACTTAGAAAACCAATTCAAGTGTTCACTTAGGAGACTTATCAATACGCAAGTAAATAATATTGTTTCCTATGAGAACCACATCAGACTTTAATATTTCCATTATTCTGTTTAAAACTGCTCACCCCGAGGTTCAAAACAGGGTCACATAGTGATATTGTTAACTATAGACCCACTAACTTGACATCCGTGCTATCGAGAACCATGAGAAATAACATCCACAAACAGCTTTCCTCTAGTCTGATTACCCTATCCCAACACGGGTTTATGATTAAACACTCATGCTCCACATTACGTGGAATTTTCTGTTCAAATTACCCAGAGAAGAGATGTTGATCAGTTAGTGGTAATTCCATACTTCGATTTTGGTAAGGCCTTCGACAGTCACGCCAAATTTTTTTTCTAAAACTTCATTTGGCACACGGAATCCTTTTATCTTGGCTGAAATCTTTTTTAGTAGAACTCAGTCAAATTGTCGCCCTTGAGTCTTGCTACTCTAAACCTGTGAATGTAACCAGTGGGGTTATACGAGGAAGTGTCACTGGCCCATTACTCTTTCTTCTTTTCATCAATGACGTGTGTTTCTTCCTTCGATACGGTGAACCTTTCCTTTTTGCTAATGACCTAAAAGTGGTTTATTCATTCTCTCCTCCCACCAAAGAAAGCTGTTTTAGCGGTAATCCAAAAAGAAATAAACAAGTACGAATGGACTGTTTCGTTGAATCTGCCACTGAATATTGACAAATGTGGATTTATTTATATTGGCAGCAGCTCTAACCTTAATCTGATCCTACACAAACACATAGTGAAACGTTCCCACACTTCTTGACTTAGGTTTGAGATATAGAAACAGTCAAAACTTTTTCGAGCTTATAACAAGTATCCAAAGCAAGAAATCTCATTGGATTAATATAAGTAAACCTGTATAACATCGAATCGAGGTTATTACTATGTAAAAAAAAGTGTATCATACCCATCCTTCAATATGCTATTCTAGTTTACAGTAATTGCAGGCATAATGATTTGAATGAAAACTGGAGGTGCTCAAAGAATATTCTCTAAAGCCGTTTTAGGATATTCGGACAAGTATTACCACCAAAGACGTCAACAACTCAAGATAGAACCTCTCTGGATCAGGCGCACTAAATCATACTTTGTCTTTATCTACCGGCTTATAAACGTTATTTTTTACTCTTCGGCATGCACCCCTTCATACTCTATGATATCATCCCACAACCTACGCAATAAAAAAGTATCCTAGCGATTCCAGGAACATACACAAACTTACGCCAAAATGTATTTCGTTATTCGCTACTCAACCATGTGGAACAGACTCTCAGTAAACCTTCGTTTCAGTGAAACTATAACTCGGTTCAGACGTCTCCTTAATGGCTTTTCTGAAAGTAGTTTATGTCACCCACTAAATATCAATGTGATTACCGATTATTAATACAAACAAGGTCCGCCATCTGTCAAAGTGACTGTAAAGCAAATTAGTAGTAAACATAAAACATCTATGCTCTATATTTTGTTATACGTCATGACACCTGAAGTTGCCAGCCATTTCACTCTACTCGAGACCTTATCAAAAACAGCACTTTAGAAGTGCAGGTTTCACTGCTGCATACGAAGTAAGAAATGCATTTTTATAATTCAGGCGCATCAACTGAAAGGTTTTTGTCCTGCATTGCATCGCGACGCAAGTGTATTGTCATCACATGAGATAAAAAACACAAAAGCGCCATAAAAGCAAACAAGAACATGTACGTACTAGTTATAGGCGAATAGCAACTAGATGTCTTTGTAAATTGTGTTCATTAAATTTCAGAACACACAAGGTAACTTTAATTCCCAATAGTTCAACAGGCGTTATAAAAAGGCATTACCAGTGGAAAATTTTTCAACTTCGTTTTCAATAAACACGTTTTTAAACATGCGCTTATTTTCTAACTTGCATGAAAAACCTTTTGAGTGAGTGTTCAGAGAGCCTGTTTGATTTTAAATACACTTGCAAGTAGGTACACGTGCCTCATTAATAGCACATAACCACATGTTCTTTCTTTTGTTGATCTTTTCAAATTACAATTAAACTTGGCAATCAAAATTAAAGTAAATGACGATCGATGCTCTAGCATCCGTCGACTGCTCATAATATTGTACAATATGACGCTTGTACTTTTCAATAAATTTCATCACACATGTAACATTTTAAAAGTCGATTGCAATTGTCGTACCGTGTTTTATGGAAATAACGGCGAAGACAGGATACGTTTGGGGTTAGGCCGAATTCGGACAAAATCGGCCTGTATTTAGGCGAAAAGTGGACGAACCGGAGACATTTAAAATATAGGGCGACATAAAGGGAAAAATCAGCATAATTTTCCTCTCAAAGGTGAAAAAGCAGACAATTAGGTGCGTTTTCCATTGTCACCCCTTTATTTTCAGATATTTTACCCTTATTCTCTTGTTGTTTATTTATTCCGTTTATCGATATTCCAGGTGAATTTCTCAAATCATAATAACGTCTCATCGATATAGTTTCGCCTCATTTGGACGATCCTTTCCGTTATTTGTGTGGTGCATTGTAAAGATGCCACAGGAATTCGGCGTTTGACAACGCTTTAACCAGTAACACCTAATATGAATCGTACCCACCAAGTGACACCAAAAGACAGAAGTGAGGAGGTTCGAAGATATAGTTGATAGGCTATCAGTATATCAAGGATCGTCTGATCGAATCTGGCTAGCGACTGCAGGGGATGTTGAGCAAGACGTTCCCACTCGTTATCTGGTTCGGATGCATTACCGAGCGCATTCAGCTAGGTGAGTCCACTAAAACCAATGTGATCAGCATTTAATGTCGAAAACTTACAGAGCTATTTATTTTAGGGGTTTATTTACCGCTACAGTTGTACCTGTTAACTGTTTAATACGTACTTTCAGTGTTGTCAAAGATATCCTTTGCTACAGATCAATGTCTTCTTTTTAACCCTGAAGTAATTTAAGTTTGTCCATTCCTTGGGAACTATTCATGGAAGGTTTATAAGACCAAAACGTCCGGAACTACATTGTTCGCCCCAAGAGTGTGTCGTATATCTGAAGTAAACTGTGAAATGTTGTTCTTTTTTCGAGACTATAGGGGAGTACTTGTTTGAAGATGAACTAACATAGTGGGTGAGAAGTTTGTGATTGCTGAATAGAGTGAGTTCTCAGTTTCAGACAAAGTGCTGATGGTGCCGTACGGCACAAGCCATAAACAGGAGTTCCCTGCCGAAAGTGCTATGCATTGATTCTGTGTTTAGTAACTGTCTGTAGAAGAATGCCAAAGGTTGTCAGATTTGGATGACACATTGTTGAAAGTCTCCTAAGATTGGGCTCCTTTAACAAAGAAATCTCGCATTCGTCACAGCGTGCCTGTGGCTGAACCATGTAGATCGTTTAGATCACGATCAAAAATAGCTGTTTTTAGTTACTTAGGTTCTGATTTATCACTAGTGAACATACTAGGTGTGACAAACCTGTTAAATTTGTAGCGTCTTCATAATTGCTTGTAATTATGTACGTAAATCGGTCACGTCGTGTTCGTAGAAGTCAGCCACTGCACAGCAGAACCAGGCTTCTATGTTGTCGAGCCAGAATGGCATTAGCTGAAATGAGGGTGACGAAAGAGTCTTGATGTTAAATAACTTAGGAGTCTTTTCGGTAATTATAAATGGAAATTATAGCGAGGAACGGGAAAAAAAATCCAAAAATATTGATAGGCAGTCTTCGGTGGGTTACGCGTTAGGGTTTGTGTAGTGACGGTTGTTGTGACCGTCGTAACTGTATCGACTGGATCGATGTGTGCCGAATTTTTAAAGGTCTGTTGCCATCGGAAAGTGGTCCTGTTGAATATGCTATTTTATTTTAGAATACGCTCAGGTAATTAGTGTATATTAAGGAAGTGATTAGCTACTATGGTATAACTGAACTGAAGAAGAATTGCGACTCGGTAAAATGATGGAGTTTACATCAAAAACTGCTAAGAACTGCATAGTGGCGTGCAGATGTGTTGGA